AATTTTGACATAGATTTTAGAATCAGCTTGTCAATCTCTACAAAGAAGCCAGCTGGGATTTTAATATGAATCTGTAGATGAATTTGGAGAGTCTTGCCATCTTAATGATGTTAGGGGTTCTGATTCATGAACATGAGATATCATTGTATGTGTTTAGGTCTTTTTAAATTTTTTTCAAATTGAATATATATATATATATTTAACTTGCATAGCTAATAAGCTAAAAGTATATGCCTTTTGGGAAATGCTTAGCAACTAGGATTATTCCTTTTATTTTTATGCAGATATAATCAATACCTGTTGCCCTGGCCAGTGTGACTCAGTTGGCTGTAGCATCATCCCATAACCAAAAGGCTGTGGGTTTAATTCCTGGTCAGGGCATTTACCTAGGTTGAAGGTTTGATATTGGTCCAGGCACTGGTGTGTGGGACTCTCAGTCTGGACCTGTAAAATCCCCAATCTGGGCATGTATGGGAGGTAACCAATCCATGCTTATCCCTCACATGGATGTTTCTCTCTCTCTCTCTTCCACTCTCCCACCCTCTCTCTCTAAAAGCAATGAAAAAAGTGTCCTAAGGAGAGGATTAAAAAAAGCACCTGTTACCCTAAGTAATTTCTGAAGTCAGAAGGAACAAATCAATAAAAACAAATTTTAGTTAATATATAAACTGTGGAAGTATAATGACAAGTGCTTGAGATTGGAAGTCAGGAAATTGGGAAGCTTTACTAGCTTTGTGCCTCATCTGTAAGCGTATAACCTTTGGAAAAATATTTCACCCCTTAGAATTGTTTTCTCATGTATAAAATGACATTGTAATTTTTCCTAAATAGGAAAGCATGGGTCTATGCTACTAGTTTACAATATGGCATGTAACTGTATTTACTTTTAGACTAAACTTTGAGGAATAAAACATTTATAAAATTTGTTTGGAGTTGAAATGTTCAGTATTTCCATGCCACCTCCCCCATTGGAGAAGCACAAAGGAAAAAATATTTATATGAGATTTTTACTTGCTGCAGATTAAATACCTTAACAAGTATAAAATAGGATTATGAACTTTGGAATGCAAAATTATGGTTCTGATTTACCTTAAAGTAATTGAAAAAATGGATGCCATCTGTTGTAGTCAGAATGTCAATGCTAATAAGTTGTCTTAAAACTTTCAATTTAGTAAATAAAATAAAAATGGTGGGCCAATATGCAGATTATATATTTAAACCTTTCCTCTTTTTAGTGTTTTAAAGTAGCATAACATAAAATTTTTCAGCTTAAGAATCTTTCAATGTGCAAATTTTCTGGGCATCCCTTGTCCTCCAATGCTCTGATGTATATATAGTTAGGTATCTCCTTTGTGAGGACTACTGTACTCAGTAATTAGAATCAGTTTTATTGGGTTTTAGCCAATACGCAGTAGCACCATCTACCGGTAACACAGTGAAATTTAATAATAGTGGAAAGAATGTTAGACTCAGATCTTCACATTGAAATGAATACAAGACATACTCTAGTCCTAACTTTCTAAGCTTACAGATAAAGAATGCGAGGTTCAGAAAAGATAAGTAACTTGCCAAAAGTCACAGATTTCTTGCTAAAATGATATAAACTATTGCAGACTAAAATTTTTGTAGGTACTTTCAAAGCAAGGAAACATGTGGAAAAGCAATTTATCCTAGTGATCAAATCTCTAGGGTGAAAACTGAGCTGGCTCTGTTTAAGGCTCCAGTGCTGATTATCTTTGGGCAAGTTAATTAACTGCTGTGCTGTGCTTCCATTTCTACATCTGAAAGTTGGTGACACGTAGTTTTCAGGGTTTGTGTGAGAAACAGAAGTAATAGACAATGTATGTTAAGCCACCATACTAGACATATGGTGATCGGTAATGTTGACATTATTTTTATTCACAAGTGATAGAACCACTTTTGAATCCAGATGTTTCTGATTTCTGTTTGTGTTCTTTAAACTTGACCACACCAAGCACCAGAAAAGACTGGCCATATTATACATACAACATAAAACAATTCATGAACATTTGGTAACACAGTATATCAAATACAAGCCCATTGGCATAGTGTATGTTCTGTGGAATTCTTCAACTTGGGGGAAAGAAGGAAGCCAAGTCTCATCTTTGGTACTTGGAAAACAGGTCCTTAAATTCTTGTTGTATTATTATTTTGTCCAGCAAGCTTCCTTTTTTTGGGTGATAGACTCTGTCCTCTTAGTTTTGAGGGTATGTGCATGGCCAAGGGGCCAATGCCTGGCCAATCAATAGTATCAAATTTTTTCTGAGCACAGTGAATGGTTCAGAGGACAAGTGATGCAAGAAGAGCCAGTGTCTGGAGATGTCAGAGAAACAAGAGAAGTGTGGTATCTTTCATCCCATGCAATACCTTCTGCAGAGTACCTTATTTTTAATAAAGTCTGTTGGAGGCCCTTTATTGTTATCCCATATTCATTTTCCTCCTCTTCATTAGCAACAGAAACTGCATACCTATGTTTTCCATTCTCCTTTGGAGATAGGTGTGACCAATAGATTCACTGAGGACAGTAGGATGTCAGTGAAATTGTGAGTGAATGCCATTTCTACAATTCAATCTTAAACCAGTAGTCACATGCTTCTGCGGTGCCTTCTCTGTTCCTGGAAAGCAAATGTATCAGTGACTTGGCTTTAATCTTTAGACGAGAACAACACCTTAGAAAATGAATGCCTTAGATAAACTAGGAAAGAAATAGATTTTTACAGTGAAGTCTTTCCCTGGAAACACTGTGTAGATGTGGTGTTAGATTATAAAGTCAATGCAGAAGGCAAATCCATTTAAGCTCAGTCATAAGAAGGAATGAAGTACTGACTGATTCATGTTATAACACGGAAGTACCTTGAACACATTATGCTGAGTAAAAGATATCAAACACAAAGTCATATATTGTATGATACTAAATGCCCAGGATAGGAAAATCTATACAGACAGTAAATCAGTGATTACCAGAGATGGAAGTGGTATGGGGTGGCAAGTGACTGGTAATGGGTACTAGACTTCCTTGGTGGTGATGAAAATGTTCTGGAATTAGACAATAGTAATGGTTGTACAACTTTCTGAAAATACTAAAAATCACTGAATTGTGTACTTTAAAAGGGTGGATTTTATGGTATGTGAATTATATCTCAAAAAATCCATTTAAGCTAAATTGCCCTTGAAAGTCTTTCTTAAATACTCTAATGCGGCTAGTTTTACCTTTAGTGTAAAAAATAAATTGCCTTTTTAACTTTTAGTTGAGTACTTAAGTAGTATGCTTGCATTTAGGAACTCTGGTACTAAAAATATATCTTGTAACTCGAGTCATACTTAGTTGTATGAGATTTTTACATTATCAAATGCAAGGGATTGACATCAGATGTATTCAAAATGGAATGTATGTACCCTTGGGGATACAAGAAAACTGTCTAAGAGGTGCTCAGGTACAGCTCATTTTAAGAACGTTAATTTCCAATTTTCAACATGCAGGTATTATCTTTTCTAAATTGATCTATGGCTAAAGCTGCCATGTCATTGTGTCCTATAGTCCTTTCCTACCTCTCGTTTCTCAAAAGTCACACTCTCACCTGTCATAAATTCTTAACACCGCAAAAACCTCGGGCGTGCCCAACAATCTGACAATTCGAGTTACTGACATTGGGGAAATCTCCTTCACACCATGGAGTGTTACATTTTTCCTTGCATTATATTTTTGGCATATAATTCAGAAGGAGTTCAAACAATTCAGTGACACTGTAGTAAAATTCATTTCATTCACTTCTAGGAGAGGAAGCCAGTTCAGGACTCTAGGTATGTAATTACTGGCTCCCTTCACCTCCATCACTAGGAAGTGAACAATGGAGCAAAGGGTAAAAAGGAGGCGGTTGCAGACGGACGACTCTGACGTTTGCAGGCACACGCTTTCTTTGCGACCAACAAAAATGCAGTAGGGTAGTCGTTTCTCTAACACTAGTGTTAATCACAGGACACACAAGAGCGCACATTTCTGTTCTCTGGTTGAGTTCACATTCGTGGCGGTCTTGTTTCTAAAAGGCGGTCTGGGTTCAAACGATACGTGGCCTTTTCAGACCAGCTATACAGAAGCCCCCAAACACCAGGGCGGTGAGTGAGCATGTGTGGAGGGAGGGGCAACGCACTCTCCAGTGAGCAGTGCTCCTCGACCCTCTACCTCGAGCAAGGAAAGGACAGGGAAAGGAGAGAAGGCAGGAAGCAGCGTGAACAACCACATCGTTTGCCCACTGTTTTCCAGATAGCCTTTGGGATTCCGAAGAGCCAGGTCAGCGTGCTAGGCGAATGGGTGCCTTTTCTACTAGTATGGGGTTCATCTTGGTCGTGGACCTGACCAGTAGCCCTCACACCTCCTAGGCATTTGCCTAGTAGCTGCGGGTAAACTAAGTGTAGCGCCAGTGCCTCCCTCGCCTGGCTCCGCCCACCATAGCCCCGCTCCAGCCCCGCCCGGTGGGAGGGGGCACCCCCGTGGGAGGGACCTACGTCACACCACTTCCGGCGCTTGCCTCCGGACCGGCCTCCGTTGCTTTTCACTTCCCTCTCCGACGCTCTCTTTCCTTGCCCCTATCGCCTCCCTTAACACCGTCACGTGAGGGGCAAGCGCTGGGGCTGCCGGGACCAGTGGTGCCGGTGGGTCAGGGTTCGGCCTCAATATGGCGGTTCCGGTCGGGCAGTGACCAAGGTTTTGCCTTCGGAAGGATTGAGTGGAGATTGTCGGTGTCTCCACCTGATGGTTGGAATGTGAGGACGCCGCAGCAAGCGCCGAGGAGCGGCGGTGACGAGGAAGGGTCGGTGCTGTGTACCCTGGGAGCCGAGAAGACGGAATCTGTCCCTTATATTGGTCCCAAGGCTTCATTGCGGCGCCCCGCCCGGCCGGGGTAGGCCGGCGGGCGGCGGCAGTAGCTGCTGCAGCCGCACGATCTGTCTCTGAGACTGGGCCGGAAGGCGTGCGCCTCGGCTGCTTCTGCCTCAGCGATGGCCCAGTGTGTACAATCAGTGCAAGAACTAATCCCGGACTCCTTCGTCCCCTGTGTCGCCGCGCTGTGCAGCGACGAAGCCGAGCGGCTCACTCGTCTCAATCACCTTAGCTTCGCGGAGTTGCTTAAGCCCTTCTCTCGCCTCACTTCCGAGGGTATGTGGTCTTCTCTCTTTTTCACCGAGCGTCAGCAAATCGGGGCTGGGAGAATAAGTTAGGGGCGGGTAGGGAAGATGAGGGCGATGTTTACAAAAAGGAGCGGGTGGAGTGTCGTCTGGGGCCAGGAAGCCCCCGCGGTGTCTCCGGTGGTTGCAGGCGGAGGGGCCATTAAGTGAGGTTGTCAAGACAGCATGGTCGAAATCTCCAGTTTCTGTTGGCACTGCTATCCTTGAACAAGCCGGACTCTTAGGTAATTACTGTAACGAAAAACTGCGAGCCCCAGAGAAGGGCGAAGGGACTGTCCTCAACGGCCATAGGGAGAGAAGTAGGAAGTTGTAAGGATAGGCAGATGCTGACTTTTAGAACGAGGAGGTCTTGGTAAAGAAGAGGAATCATTATCCCCTGGTTGTTAAACTGGACTCTCGGAGTTGTTTTGAACATTACATTCTTCCAGCAGTGAGGCTCATCTCTATCTAAGTTTGTTTAATTATTTCACTTAAATTTTTTTTGAACATTTTCTGAGGTATATGATATTTTACTTAACCTCTTAAGAAAATAAAGTATTAAAGACATAGTAAAACCTGAAACAGCCTCTGCCTAATGGACAAGAAAGTTAAGAACAAGTTACATAGTTACCTAGATTTATAGGAAAGGAAATGTCCTAAAATCTGATTTTTCAGATTAAAACTAAGTCAACAGTAAGAACATGTTTTTTAATGAGGAGCTACCTGTTTCAGGTGAAAAACTGTGACACTTGGTTATGATGACTTCTGCAAAAAAATGGTGCTGTGCCGTAAATGCATGTATTTATATGCCACAGGTGTGTATTCCTTGGGAGAATAGTATTTGTAAGTTCACTAATGTATTTAGAGGAGAGAGAAATCTGCTGAACAAACACAGTTACAAGAACTCTTGGATTTTCTTCAGTCTCTACCATAGCTAGCTCCTCCGGGGTTGTACTGAGTCAACAGGACAGCTAAGTGCTCTACATTCTTAAATTCTTTGAAAGGTGTGAGTGGTCTTTACTGGTTTGTTAATAAATACTAATACTAATACCTGATACCTGTGTTCCGTAGCTTTTCTCTTTTAGTCCTTTTTGAATTGTATTATCATTTTACATTTGAGGACGTTGAGGCAAAGATGTTAACTTGTACACAATCTTACATGTAGGAAAGACTTAAAAACAGGCCATGTGACTTAAGTCATCTTATCTCATTGCAATGTTTAGAATTACTTATTCACACTAGACAGCAGTGTTATCCAGCAGAAATAAAATGTCACATACAATTTTAAATTACTTAATAGTCACAGGGTTAAGAAGTGAAAAGAAACAGGAGAAATTAGTTTTAATGATTTTATTTTACCCAGTATTTCTAAAACGTTACTTCAATATGAAGTCAATATTAAAACTTTTAATTAGATATTTTACTTTTTTTTTTTTTTTTGGCTAAGTCTTTGAAGTTTTGTATGCTTTTGCACTTATATTACATCTCAGTTTGAGCTAGACCTTTCAGGTACTCGGTAGCCACGTGTGGCTGGAGCTTCCTGTATTGGACAGCACAGTGAATAGAGACTCAGTTATGATTTCCTTCTGTAGACTGAAAGATTTAGGAAAGGAGTGTAATGAGTTGGACTTTTCTGGCTAGGTAGAGAGTTGGTGGAAAAATAGCCAGTGCTCCCTGTTGAGGTTGGGGTGAGGTTAGAATTGTATGGGCAAAAGATGTAAATTGTGAATTACAAGTGGTTGGGAAACAGGAAACTGTCCTTATCGGAGTACAGAAGAGTAAGGGAAAATGCCTTACTCTTGATCTTGAATTCTAGGGAATGGATTTTTGGCTTTCATATCAAATGGTAAATGTGTGGCAGTCTTAGATTCTTGAGCCAAGGGTATGACATTTTGGGAGAGGTAAGAGTTGATATAAATTTTAAAGTTTAAGATGATTAGGACATGGACCATGGGTGGTGGCATTAGAAATTTGGCATTTAGATATTTATAAGATTTATAAGGAGAATTTTATTTAACCACTCACTTTTGAAAGTCTTTGGCTTTCATTTTTGAAAAGTATATTTTAAAATTTATTGTAAAATACTTTTAAGGGATTTAAAAGATAGGAATAGAATGCAATTTTATGTGAATTTTGAGTATTTTCTGAGTGGGCTATCAAAAGTGGTAAATTAGACCAGGAAATGACCTTTAAAGGATACTTAATGTCTCTACTTTTAAGTGTCTTTTAAAAAGTTAGAAATACTTCATTAATCTTACCCACCATGTTGGTTTAACAAGGTAATTATCCTCCCAGTTTTTCAGGTTCTGAACTTTGAATAAAATTTGTCAGCTTTACAAAATTTAGATATATATGTTGTTTGTGTCCAAGTTTGATTTTTTTTCAGCAGTCGAGGTTTTCTTTATAAAATTTTTGTGCTGGGTAAAAACATGAAAGAGACTATTTCATTTTTTAAAATGTATTTCCTAGAACACCAGATGTGTTATATGTTCTCTAAAAATGAATTTTGTGGTCAAGTAAGTTTGCTTAACATAGCATGTATTTGGTAGTCACGGTGTCCTTTAGCATATGAAAAGCTCTGAGAAGATCTGTTATAACGAGACTACTTAAGAACTTATTCCAGTATTTCCCAAATTTATTTGAAGATAGAATCAGTTTTGCAGAGACAACTCTTAATTTTCTTGAGGAAACAGTATTTCATGGAGCTTCACATACTGGGAAGTATTACTTCATGATACAGTATGCAAGATACTGTATGGTAACCTGCAGAAGTAAGATAATGGTAGATTTGAATTTCACTTTGAAATTGAGATGTGCTATGATCCTTAATCACCTTTCGTGCTGTTTAGTTCTGAAGATTTTGAATTTTTTGCATGTGATTTAAGAGCATTTCTCTTAATCACCCTCCAATGTGTTACTTATTCAATTATTATGTAACAAATGACCCCAAACTTGGCACCTTAAAAGCAGTTATTATCTCTCAGTTTCTCAGGAATCTGGGAGTGGCGTAGCTGGATGCTTCTGGCTCCATCTATCTTCTGGCTCAGGGTCTATGTTGAGGCTGCAGTGGAGCTGTCAGCAAGAGCTGCAGTCATCTGGGGCTTGAGGATCTTCTTCCAAGCTCACTCATATGGCAAGTCTCACGTCCTCGCTGGATGTTAGCCTGAGACCTCAGTTCTGTGCCGTGTGGGCCTGTTCATAGGCTCGCTTGGTATCCCCATGATGTGGCAGTTAGCTGCTTACACAGGGAGTGATCAGAGAGAGAACCCAGGATGAAAGCTGTACTCTTTTATAACCTTGTCTCAGAAGTGGCATACCATTGCTTTTGCCATGTTCTATTGGTCACAACCCTGGGATGTGGGAGGAGGCTACACCAGAGTGTGTATAACAGGAAATGGTGAGATCACTAGGGGGCTATTTCAGAGGCTGGCTGCCACACTTAGAAACTCATTTCTGAATTTATTAGTAGGATTACCCAACTGATAAGCCCACTCTGAGTATAGGGAAAACTAGAGTATCCTTTTTTGTGTTGACACTTAGGAATACTAAAAGATAACTGACCAATTTAAACTTTTGTGAGAGGCTTAATACACACGTGACTACTTATGTTATTCAATAATTAAGGACCAACTTTATGGAAAATGCTTGTTTCTAAACATCAGAAATGCACCATACTATATTCATGTTTTTTGGTTTCTCTGTTTCATAATTAGACTAGGTGGGAAGTTTAATTAGGGAAAGAGTCCTGTCTGTTTCTTTAAATTAGAAAAAATAAATAGTTACAGAAGAATGCAGATAATACAAGAAACATCCAGCTCTCCACTACCCAGAACCAACAAATACTAACCATGTCATATTTGTTTTATGTCTTTTTTCTTTTAACAAGAAATCAAACGTTATAGATACAGTTGATATCACTTTTCTACCTTTCTTTAGCCAATTTCCTTCCTTCATAGGCAACCTGTATAATGGAATTTGCTTGTATTTTATCTGTACTTCTGTACATATACTTATAATACAAGTGAACATTCGTTCCATATATAGTTTTTTAAAACTATTTTTGTGTGTGATTTATGATTTTACATTAAAAATTTAGAAATCAACAGAGAGCACACAGGAAATTTAGCAAGACAGTTTTTAGAGATGTAACTTTTTAAAATGTTGGCAGGCCTGACCTTAAAAGTTTGGTATAAAGCATTTTCCATTGGGAAGAAAAGGGTCATTTTTTTTTTTATGAGTAGGTACCCAAAGCTAGTTTTTCAGAGTTGCCTCTCATCTGTAGATGATGATCCTTGATGTCCTTGAAATAGTGTATGTTAATACTGGCTGCCTCCATCACCTTTTGAGCACTTAACTATATAGTTATGTATCAGTCATGGTGCTCAGTGCTTTACACTTACTTAGATAACAATATCTCAAGTCTTTAAAATAACCCTATGAAATGTTATAGGTGAGGAAATTAAAGCATGGAAAAGTTAAAAAGTTATTTAGGGTAACCTAGTTATTAAGTGGTGGGTTGGGATTTAAAATAAAGTCTGACTCCAAAATTGAGTCCTTAATATAATGGGCTGCTCTAATACTACTTGGAAATTGCCTGATTGTATTTATATGAAAACATATGCTCACATTTCCTACTGTGCACTGTGGGTACTCTTTTGTTATAATTTCCTAAGAACCTCTATCTTGTCCTGAGGCTCTGAACCACTGGTTATAAGTTGTGTAGACTTGTGCCAAGGCCTGCAACAGGGCAGATGCAGGAGGTAGTGGGATGAGAGAAGGGATTTGGGTGTTAATTTTTTTTAATAGCCTTTATATTTTTAGGACACTTTTAGGTTCACAGCAAAATTGAGCAGAAAGTATGGAGAGTTCCCTCATACCTTTGTTTCATTACTTCCCCACTATCAACATCCCATGTCAGAGTGGGGTTTGATTTTCATGATAGAGGATTAGTAGTGGCTGAGAATGCAGGTGGCATACTAGGAGAAGTAGAGGAATCCTCAATTTAGCATTTAATTCCCCTTTCTTCGAAGCCCTTTACTATTTTCAGTGTTGGTACTACAGATTTCACACTGCCCTGGACCAGCCTTAGGGTGAGATGAGAATTAGAGACGTGGTATGGATGGTGGTGGTTGGTTCCTGGCAACCCCAAACAGGAGGATGGAAAATACATATACTGTAGGGACATGAATACTAGCATTGCGTGAGAAGTTCAGACTGTCTGGCTAGCCCTTTTGGTTGTAAGGGAATGTAAGTCATTTGCATTTATGGAAGATGGTTCCACTTAGAATTTCTGGTTTCTGATTTGGTCATCTTCTTTGTAAACGAGTAACCCAATTTTTTACTATTGTTGACTGGGTTATCATGAATTGTATAGAATTAATTTCAAGGTTTTTTCCTTTTTTTTTAAGTTCATATGAGAGATCCTAATAATCAGCTTCACATAATTAAAAATTTGAAGATAGCAGTAAGCAACATTGTCACCCAACCGCCTCATCCTGGAGCCATTCGGAAGCTTTTGAGTGATGTTGTTTCTTGCAGCCAGCCTGCAGAAGGATTAGTAGCTAATGTGATTACAGCAGGAGATTATGACCTCAACATCAGTGGTATGTATTAAGGTTTACTATTACTTTTTAAAGGAATTTTTCTTTTTTTGGAAAAAGTAATTCCGTGACTTGGAAATCATGTAACACTTAAGTGCTTACTGAATGATAGATTGGGAACACATGTTGAAAAAAAGTTACTACTTTTAAGGAGGTTATAATCAAGTGAGTAGGAATTCAAACTATGAATTAGACGATTTTATTTTATTTTTTTATAATAAAATTGTTTTTATAGGTGTACTTGTAAAGCAAATAGACGCTCCATTAGGGCAGGAACTTTGGCTCTTTATTTTATTTCTAGTACCTAAGGTAATGCTTAGAACGTGTATATAATAAACATTTCTTGAATGAAAGAACAGTAGATGAAAAAAACATTCTTTTGTGATATAAGTAACACTATAGTTAAATTTAAAAAGTGAACATTATTATTTTTTTTATTTTTCTTAGTGTTAAGTGGAGGGAATGTATATACTATATGAGTAAATATTTTCTGAGTGCTTCTTAATCTAATTTGAATAATATTTTCATGATCAGATTGGTAGGTCAAATAATAATATGTATAGTGAGCAGTATTTGGTATGGTATGAAAAAGCTTAATAGAGAAGGACATGGGATAGATTTTTAGAGGGAAAAAATTAAAAGTGCATTGTCTATCAGGATATTTCAGCAGCCTAATGAAATAATCTTTTTAGGTCATTATAATTTCTCATGTAATATTTTAACATATTTAAAACAATTGTATATTTAAAGATTTTTCAGGCCCTGGCTGGTGTAGCTCAGTGGATTGAGTGTGGGCTGGGAACCAAAGTGTCCCAGGTTCGATTCCCAGCCAGGGTACATTCCTGGGTTGCAGGCCATAATCCCCAGCAACCGCACATTGATGTTTCTCTCTCTCTCTTTCTCCCTCCCTTCCCTCTCTAAAAAATAAATAAATAAAATATTTAAAAAAGCAAATAGAAGAAGTTCATCATTGTCTATAACTAGAACAATTAAAAAGATTTTCCTAAATATACTGAGAAAACTTAAGTAGTGTGTTTTATTTTTTTCCAACAAATTTGACTTTTTTTTTAAGATTTTTTATTTATTTACTTTTAGAGAGGGAAGGGAGGGAGAAAGAGAAAGAGAAACATCAATGTGCGGTTGCTGGGGGCTGTGGCCTGCAACCCAGGCATGTGCCCTGACTGGGAATCGAACCTGTGATGCTTTGGTTCGCACCCCGCGCCCAATCCACTGAGGTACGCTAGCCAGGGCAAGTAGTGTGTTTTAAATCATGAAGTTTGTTGGTTGTACTTGTATAGTTAGAAATATCTGTAGAATTATTTTATTTTAAATGTTCATAATTTTTCTTTTTATGTTACTAATTTTAATTCCAGTAAGAGAAGTTAACTTGGTAATTTTAAGTTTAGAATATTATGGTTGTCTTTTCACATCCAAAGAATATGAATTTCAAGATATATATTTTAAGCAGTTATTGGCATAATATGTTTTTAAAATTTTGGATTTTATGAAAGAAAGTGATGGAATTTGCTCTATTTTCCTGTTCTCAATAGGAAATTAATGTAGAAGTGTGAACAGCAGTGAACAAATGCCAGAGTATCCCAAGTTTTTTTACTACCATAGCCATTAGTTAATTGGATAACTTGAGTACGTCACTTACTCATACTTGGTTTCATTCTTTGGAAACCAGAGAAAATTTGGCTCCATTGTTTCTCAAAGGTGTCTCCTAGACCTTAAATCCTGTGATTCTGTTTTATAAATAGGGTCTTTAACATTTTTGTTACTCATGTAACAAATATTTATTGATTCCTACTCTATGCTTTGAATTGAGATGTAAAGTAGAATAAGACATGTTGTATGAGTTTATAGTCTGGTGGGGAGACAAACATGTAAATCAACAGTCACAATACATTCTTATCTGCAATACCTTTTAATCACAATATATTATAATAAGGATACGGCATATCCAAAATGCCAAAGTGCTAAGGGGGCAAAGAGAGGGATTAACGATCATATTTTAAAAGTAAATAAAAAAATTTTTATGCTGCAAGTATCTTCCTAACTTCCAGAGCTCATAATACCTTTTATTTTTAAAACTTTTAATTTATTGAAATGATACATGCACATAGATACAATGCTAAAAAGACTCTAAAGAAAAAACAGCAATGATCTGTGCCCTGTGCCCCCACCCAACCCATTCTTTTAGGGGTTTCCTCTGATACTTAATTTGTGTTTCTAAGTAATATTTTCATATGGCTTTCTATGGTTTAATCAATTTTAAATTTATTCATTATTTTCTTATTTTAATTGATGAAGATTTAGCTTAATTATTCCTCTTCGTCTTTTCCCCATCTCTAATGTAGTTTTCATAATTTTTGGTTACTAATCACTTTTTTCAATATTATGATTAAATATTACTCACCTTTTTATCACTGAGCCAAGTATTGGGCTCAGTCCATTCTTACACAGCACTTGATTGATTGCTTGATTGAGACATGGGAAGTGAGGGAGAAAAAGAGGGAGATAAAATGTCAGTGTGAAAGAGATACATCTACTGGTTGCTTCCCAAATGCCCCCAAATGCCCTACAACCCAGGCATTTTTCCTGACCTGGAATTGAATGTGTGACCTTTCAGTTCTCAGGCCTGTGCTCAAGCCAGACTAGCCAGGGCTGCACTTTCTTCTCCCCAAGATGTGTAATTGCCTTTTTAAAAACAACTTGCTCAGAGTTCTTTGTATCTCTTGCTCTAGTCTCTCAAGCTTCCAGTAGCCTCTTAGTAAGATTTTCTACTTGCCAGATCGTTGTTTTCATTTTTTTCTTTTATTGAACACAGTTGAGAGTAGAGAACTTTTTAATTTTAGTCCATATTGGCAAAGAAATCCGACAGTAGGAGACACAATTTTTCATGATTATTAGAGAAATAAGAAGATGAATGAAGTGAAACAGCAGCATTCTAGCATAGCACTGTCCATTTGAAAATATATGTGAGCCACTCATGTAGTTTTTTTTTTAAAGGTTTTGTTTATTTTTAGAGAGAGGGGAAGGGAGGGAGCAAGAGAGGGAGAGAAACATCAGGGTGTGGTTGTCTCTCATGCACCCCCTACTGGGGACCTAGCCTGCAACCCAGGCATGTGCCCTGACTGGGAATTGAACCAGCGACCCTTTCGTTCTCAGCCCGTGCTCAGTCCACTGAACCTACACCAGCCAGGGCACTTACATAGTTTTTAATATTCTGTAGCTACAATAAAAATACAAAAAAGAGGTGAAATTAATTTTAATATTCTGTTTTACTCAACCCAGACTATACAAAATATTATCATTTCAACATGTAATCAATAGAAAATTATGTATTTTTTGTACTGTGTTTGAAACCCTATGTGTATTTTACACCTAGATCACGTCTCTATTCAGATAAGCCACATTTCAGGTGCCTGCTACTGGCTACCTACCTATTGGACAGCCTAGCCCTAGTGATCAAATTGATCATGTACAGAAAGTCCGCCTTATGAATCTTTAGATAACGATATCTAATCCAAATTTTCTCAACCTCAAAAATTAATAACTGAGCAGTGTATTTCTAAGAAGAAAAATTAAATACAGCATTTTCATCTAGCTAGTCAGTAATTTAATAGGAGGGATTTCACATAATATTTTGAGACAGGAACCTAGACCACTTCATTTTGTTATAGGACATCATCTTTTCTGGTGATTTTTTAACAAAATTTGCTTGATACAGTTTGTAAGTGACAAATGCTGAAGGCAGGCATGTGTATAAAGATGATTGGAAAGAATTAGATGAGGTAGAAATAAAAATTCATTGGATTCAATGTACTATTTGCTATTAAGTCTAAAAATATGAAAATGATTTTTAGTGATGGAGCAAATAAGATGACATTTTTCTCTTCAACAAAATTATAAGCCATCAGTTTTTTCCAAAATGTTGTACCTTGACTATGCAAGTACAAGAAGAACCAGAAGTAATGGTAAGCTAGAATTTATTAGAGATGTGACGTGATCATTGGCTGGCAGTGACCGCGAACGCTGTGGATGGCTCGTCAACACTCGAGAAAAACATACACAGAGATAGCCAGGTCCTGTGGGGAAGTAGGAATGGAATGGCCACTATCTCTGCTGGGGAGAGGGCCGTTCCCCCTCCGGAGAGGCTTTTTATTGGTTTCGTTTGCATAAGAATTCAAGTAAAGGTCATTACTCATTGTGAGGAAGTAAGGACAAACAAAAGATAACAAGGAAGTATGAGGGCCTATTTTGAGTCAGGGTCAAAGAGCTGCAAAACTTTAAGGAACAAACTTACTTCTTCCTTGGACCCTTATCATTCAACTGAGAGCATTCTAAACAAAGCAGGTTTCACGGGATTTTACATATTCTTTCTTAGGCCTGATCACCCGGAGAATCCGCCCTTTTCAACACACAGCTGCACCACCCTGTCATTGTTTCAGGCTTAGGTGGAGCAAGGGAACTAAGGCAACCAAGAGATAAGGAGATTTTCTCCCAGACAATGAGAACTCAGGCTATGTCAAAGTCTAGGAGCGAGGGTCCATCACCCCCTTTTGCTGTAGCCCCCAAAGTCCTTCCTTGGGGGCCTCCCATGTGATTGTGCCTGTCTTAGGTCGTTCCCCCCTTGGGGAATCTTACCCGTCATTGGCTAACCGACCAAGCATTGGGGTTCAGTTAGAATAAAGCAGCAGAAGCAGCGCTCCTACCAGGGAGATAAGCTTTTGTCTCCTTGCTGGCTTATGGTCCAAGGCCACTCCCACAGCCTTAGCCTTGGCAGGGGTTACAGCTTCTGATACCAGCCAGGGCAGTTCCCAACAGATGTATTTCAATATGGAACCAGTATTCACACAATGAATGTGTTCCAGGTTTGTTCATGACAGTTGGACATGCATCAATGGACAGTTAGTTGCATTCAAAGAATGTTGCCTAATTAAGGCATATACTTTTAAAACCAGGAAGATATGGAATACAATTGGAGTTTGCTGTGTTTAAATTCTTACTAAAATTTGTTTAAAGTTTTTTTTACCATTCCTTTATTCTTAATTCTTTAAGTAATTGTAATGTGAATTTAAAATATCCAGGGCCAGTTAGATTCAGATGGTTAAATGACAATGACTAATTTTTTCCCCCTGCTATATTGTAAGTTCAAAGGCATATAGTTTGAAAAGAGGATAATTTATTTTTTAAAATCTTCCACTGTGGTGTCTGAAGAATCTAAAAGTTGGGCATATACAATCATGACTCTCTTTGGAATACTTTAATTTTTGCTGAGTTTTCTGAAAACACTTGATTAGAAGTAGTCCCCTCAGGAATAGTTACTATGGGTGTTGTTAAAATATGTTAGTATTTCTTAGTTCTTCATATTATCTGAGATCTTTTATGACTTGCAAAATGTTAAATTTTATGAGTTTTGATTTAGTTTATTGTGGCTCTTGTGTTCTAAGATCCTCTGTATTAAACCATATTTTCTGATAATCCCAGAATTTAGTGTCAAATATTTTTTTACTTTGAGTCTGTACATTTATCTAAGTAATATACATTTACTTATTTAATTCCTTTCCTTTCCTTGGATGTTTTAATACAGAGTGAGGCAAATGTAGGTTTTCAGTTGTTTGTATGGAAAAAATACAAAAATAATAATATAAAGCATAAACTTCAGTGTACTCACAACTGTAAACCTACTTTTGCCCCACTCTGTATTAAGTGCCTCACTCTGTATTAAGTTTTGGTGTATCTACTATTTATCTAAAGTTGCATTGTAATAAGTACCAACGTTATTTGTAATATGTTAATATTTCTTAGTCTGACTGTGATTTTCTGGCACTTTAAGCTTTTGTGAATGATTAGGAAGGGAAAATATGTGATTTACATGTGATGTTTATATTTAGAATATTCGGTCTCTTTTACCTGAATATTTGGGGTTACTACTTTGGTTTCAGTAGGATGAAGACCAGAGTTGCTCTAGGTTTAGCACACTGCTGTAGCTCTTGTTAGATATTTATTGGGACCATTAATACATTGTGTACCAAATTACTGGCACTAAGAAGGGAACAAAGAAGGGGGAATTGGAGGATAGAGCATTATTGTGGGGGAGTTTTGTCCAGCAGAGTCCCCCGGCTGTTGTGGATGAAAATAAGTCTACCAAGACATGATCTGCTTGGGGAGGAAAGGTCTCCATGATCTCTTGAAGGAGAAGGGCCAGGAGCCTGCTCCTCAGTGGGCTTGTATTGGGTTCCGTTTGCCCAGGAATACAGGTAAAGCTCATCAGTCATTGTCAGGCAGTAAGGATCAAACAATAGATAACATTCAGAGAACTATGAGGGCTTATTCTGAGTCAGGGTCAGTTAGCTAAAGGGCTATAAAACTTTGGGGAACAAACTCATTTCATGCTTGGACCCTTATCAGAAAATTGAGGACATTCTTAGCAAAGCAGGATTCACAGGATTTTATGCATTCTTTCTTAGGCCTGATTGCCCCAGGGAACGCCCTGTTCCTGCCCTGGGCCGCACCCACCTCCAGCATTGTTTCAGGCTTAAGTCAGGCAGGGGAAGTAAGGCAGCCAAGAGATTAGGAGACTTCTTGCAGACAGAATGAGGACTCAGGCTATGTCAAAGCTGAGGGGTGAGGGTCCATCACCCCTGTTTTCTATAGCCCCCCCAAGTCCTTCTCTGAGGCCCCCTTCATGACCATGCCTGTCTTAGGTCATCCCTCCCTTGAGGAATCTTTCCTGTCACTGACTAACCATTCATCCTCCCGGGGCCAAGCAGGGTGAAGTAAGAATGGGCAGAGGTGGTGTCCCTGCTAGGGAGATAAGCTTTGTCTCCTTAGTGGCTTATGGTCCCAAGGTCCTTTACTCAGCCTTAGCCATGGGGGGTTACAGCTTCTGAAACCAGGCAGGGCAGTTCCCACACATGGTCGTCTTTTGGCCATTAGTTCTCTTCCTTACCCTTCTTTACCAAGACAAAATACGTTCTGCATAGAGACTGGTAGGACACATGGTTGCTGTTCAATTCCAAAGAAGGAATATGTAGAAATGGAAAGGGATATGGGCAAAATACTGATTTTATCCCAGAAGTACAAGAGAGTTTCTAAAGGGAGGTAATTGTCACTAAGTGTTGAAATCTTCCGTTATATAAAACATTTAAGGACTACTATTTTTCCACTTTCTGTAAGAGTGTCATTTGAAAAAAAACGGAAGGATGCTCTTGATTTATTGGCTTGTAAAATAACTGAAGGAGGACTTTTTAAAATTGTTGTTCAAGTACATTTGTCTCCATTTTCCCCTTGCCACTCCCCACCCCCCTGCCCCACCCATCCCTACCTCCCACCCTTGATCCTACTCCCTTTTGGCTTTGTCTTTGTGTCCTTCATACAGGTGTTCCTTGACAACCCTTCCCCTTTCCCCCGTTATCACCCTCTTCCCTTCCCTCTGGTTACTGTCAGTTCTTCATTTCAATATTCTTAGTTATATTTTGCTTGCTTGTTTGATTTGTTGATTATGTTCCACTTATTGGTGAAATCATATGTATTTGTTTTTCACTGGCTGGCTTATTTCACTTAGCATAAGGCTCTTCAGACCCATTCGTGCTGTCACAAAGGGTAGGAGTTCATTCTTTCTGTTGTGTAGTATTCTGTTGTGTAAATGTACCACAGTTTTTTGATCCACTTGTTTACTGATGGGCACCTAGGTTGCTTCCAACACTTGGCTATTGTAAATTGTGCTGCTGTGAACATTGGGCTGCATAAATTCTTTTGAATTGGTGTTTCAGGATTCTTAGGGTATAATCCCAGCAGTGAAATTGCCAGGTCAAAAGGCAGTTCCATTTTTAGTTTTCTGAGGAAATTCCATACTGTTTTCTTAATTAGCCCCTTAAGAAAATAGGAGGCTAAAGGGAAAAGTTACCATACTAACCTTAATGTGACCACTCTGAAAGATAAAACCCACTTCTGCCATATGTATTTTAAAATTTTTCCTTTGTTCCTCATATTCTTGAGTACCCAATTAAGAATATGGTATAGTGTCTTCTACCAGTATTTAGAAAGTATTATTTCAACTTAAGAACACATACATGTGTGTATACCTGCCTGTTCTTTTTGATTTAATTTTATTTTTAATTATGTGGACATTTTTATAATTCCAAAGTTGAAACTATAAAACAAGTTACATTCAGTGAGGTGCAGCTTCTGTCAATGCCCCTCACCCCCTTTCTCGTCTCTAATTAGATTTGTCCTTCTGTTACTTTTATGACAATGTAATCAAATATTACCTGTGTGGTTCTTTTTTTCCCCTTCTTACACAAAAGTGCATATTTTTCTGCTGTGTCTTTATTTTTTTTCCCTTACCAGTATATTTTAGAAAGCACTTTTTGTAATGTCTAGAGATTTTCTCCTTTCTCTTACAGCTGCATAGTACGTCCACTTAATGAATGTCCTCTTTTGATGGACTTAATGCTTTTCTATTCTTTTATTTCAGATAGTTTTGCAGCAAATAGCTATTTTGGAAGATCTAATTGTTTATTTAGAACTCTTGAGCACACCATGAAACAAATCCTATCCTTTCTTTTCTTGTCATTGGTACTAAATGAAAATATGCATTAATTTTCTAGACAGACTAATTTTGACAGATTGGGGGAAAGATGTATTTGTTGATTGGTAAGAAAATTGATTTTGCATAGTAGATAACAGACTAGTCTGTGTCATTTATTCTCAGATTTTTGCCACTTTTCATATAGACTGTAATATTTCTGGATATGTTTTTGTTATATAGCAATGAACATGAAATTGTTACACTCATAGCCCTTCTAAACAATATATGGGTTATTCTTGTAAGGCATGTGTTGTAAAATTTTGTGTGTATATGGTACCAGGTTAAATACGCTATTTGGTCAAACAACACCTTTTTTTCCTATAAACTTCCCAGTCATTTAATGTAATATTATCATATAAACAGGAAATCTCTTTGCTATATTTAGTGATTAATATGAAAACAAAAAATACAGTAAGACTTGGTAATCAGCATAAGTAGCCAGAAATAGAATGTCCTTTTAGTAAAACTGATTTAGATAATATGCTTAAACCTAGTGAAATGACTAAGTTTAAGTTCAAAATTAAAAATGTTAGAATAATTGTAAAATTATTAACATGGAGCAAGAGATTTTAAGAAATGTGTAATATACACGTGTACAAAAAGTGAAAACATACATCTTTACATTTGATTATAAGCATGCTTTGAAATTCCATTTAAAGAGATTTTGTTACTATCACACTCAAATATAATCAAATTGTAAAGTAATTGTTAGCCTTGCCACTATTGACATTGAGCCAAATAATTCTTTCCTGTGGGGGGTTGTCTTGTTCTGTTTATCGAAGGATGTTTTGCATCATTCCTAACTCTTTGCCTTGATGTCAGTAGCACCCACTCATGACAACCCAAAGTATCTCCAGACTTTGCTGAGTGTTTCCTGGGGGTAAAAATTGCTGTCAGTTGAAAACCAGTGTTTTGAAATGATATTTACAGAAAGGAACTACTCGTGGCAGGGGGGTAAACTTTAGTTTTAAAATCTTTTTACTCATATAGGTAATATATAAAGTATTAATAGGTAAGTAAGTTGTGGGATTATTGCGTAGGTTTGGTAATAAATCAGTTTTATTTTGCAAATATATGTTCTTCCATGTATGAATATATTTGTGTATATGGCTTTATTTATATACACACATGTCATTATATGTGTATATTAAAGCACAGGTGAAAATACTTTATATCTTTAAGAACAAGTTAAAAATGCTTGTTTATTGCTAGAAATTGCTATCTTATGAGTTTAAGGATTATGGACTTGAAATTTTATCTCTTGTAAACTGAGGGTATTGAGAAATTTGAACTGTTTGTATATGGTTCATTTTAGCTACTACTCCATGGTTTGAGTCTTACAGAGAGACCTTCCTTCAGTCGATGCCAGCATCAGATCATGAATTTCTGAACCACTATTTAGCATGTATCCTTTGATGTTTGTGTTCTTTTAAAATCAAATGTTTTGGAAGTTACTAATTTCAGAAGTAGTTATATGAAGGCAAAACTGTTGAAAGGATATAGAGAAGGGAGAAATTTTTTCTATTGATGATTCTTCAAGTTTTCATTATTGTTGTTTTGTCAAGTGGCATCCTAGATACAGGATTTTTTTAATTACAAAATAAGGATATTGAGGGCTTGCTTATTATTTTTTTAATCCTTCAACTCAAGTAGTGTATACTTAGTAAGTTTTTAGCCATTTTAGAAAGACAATATAAAGACTGCCAGTGGTAACTCCTTGTGATGATTGCCTCAGAATTAAATGCTGTTGTAAAAGCTCATATTTAAAAACAGTTTTCTAGTGTTTTAGTAACCTGTTTTATAGCAGCTAACCTCTTTTGACAGTTAATGGTTTTTTTAATGAGGTTACAAAGAAAAGAGGTAGGATAGAGTATGAAATTGCAGGGAAATGGAATGGAGGGGAGCAAGGTTCAGCAAAATTATTTGATATGTTGATAGCTGTACAATTTTGGTGTCCATTTTTATTTCCTTGGACTTCTGTATTGGTAATGTAAATAACCTAAAAACTGTCAACAAAAAATCTAAACAAGATTTAGAACCTTGAATTACTAAGAAGTGCTGGAGAAATTATCTTGTGCTTGCTGTGAAAACCTGTGAAATCAGAATTTTTTTAGCTCAGAGAATGTCTTCCTAAATTTATTTTAATAGGATAATTTTATCATTCGAGTGATAAGTGATTATTACCTTAATAATATGGTTTACAAGGTATGTTGGTAGCATCGTCTAGTGAAGCTGAGCCTGTGGAACAGTTTTCAAAGTTGTCACAAGAACAGCATCGAATTCAGCACAACAGTGACTATACCTACCCCAAGTGGTTTATACCAAATACACTTAAATATTACGTACTTTTACATGATGTAAGTGCAGGAGATGAACAGAGGTAAGCTTTCCATTTTAATTAAGAACATTTTTAATTAAGTGATTTAACTTTAATTTGGGCATGTAAATTTTAGATACACTTGTCATCTAAGAAAGTAAAATTTTATTTATTTTAAAGGTTTTATTTATTTATTTTTAGGGAGAGGAGAAGAGAGGGAGAAAGGGGGGGAAGAGAAAGAGAGTCGGGGGACCTTTCACATGCTCACAACTGGGGACCTGGCCCCCAACCCAGGCATGTGCCCTGACTGGTAATTGAACCAGCGAACTTTTGGCTCACAGTGGCTCACAGGCAGGCACTCAGTCCACTGAGCCACACCAGCTAGAGCAGAAAGTAAAAACTTGCTAATGAAGCCCTGGCTGGCGTAGCTCAGTGGATTGAGCGTGGACTGCAAACCAAAGAAAGCGTCAGGTTCGATTCGCAGTCAGGGCACATGCCTGGGTTGCAGGACACAGCCCCCAGCAACTGCACGTTGATGTTTCCCTCTTTCTCTCTCTGTCCCTCCCTTCCCTCTCTAAAAATAAATAAATAAAATCTTAAAAAAAAAACTTGCTAATGAAACATTTAACTGTACCTTTTATTTCAGAGTTATATTCAACAGCTGAGTCACTTAATGTTAGATTTCAAATGCTTACCCGAACTTTTCCTTCACTATAAATCTCTTTTAGTACAGTCTTTGTACAAAGGTGCTTGCCACTTTACACCTATAGGTCTAAGGTGTTATTTCTTACTTTATACACAATTATTTCTTATTTTTTCACTTTTTCCCAGTTTTCCTCCTAACTTTTCACTTCCTGGCTGTTGCTTAAAGCCTTAAAGGCACTTCGTTTTTCACTTTTCACTCTTTTGTCACTTTGTATTTTAGCCTTGATGTTTTCTATCACCTCAAAAACATGCAAATATTTCTTTGTGTTTTCTTTACTATTCTTTATTAATAATTTGCTATAGCTCTTTTATCTTTGGGTATGTGAATAACTTACTTTAAAAATAAGTTCTTGTAAAATAAGACAAACCAATTCTATTCCAAAAGGCTTTAGAGTTTACTTTGACTTTTGGTTCAAGATGTGTATCAAATTAATCTTCTGTTTTACAGTTTTCTGATGTCTCAGTGACATTTACAATATGCAGTTAAATAACTCTTGCCCTTGTTTTGAGCACAAACCATCTTTTTTATAAATTTTCCTCTATAAAATCAAAGAATTATTTTGAGGATTACTAATCTTTAGTAACCTTTGCAATCATAAAACAGTCTGTAGCCTGTAGGATAACAAAATAATTTGAACTGGCTATTAAGATTAGTTTTTATCAGTTGACTATGTTATGTATCTTCTAAGATAGTTAATTGGTAATTCAGGTATTAGGTCAGTGATTCATACATTTAGCAGTATCATTGGTAAAGTAAGAAGTTTAGCTTATTGTACCTGAGTGTATATACATATGTATATGTACATACTCATCTGTGTTTATACAAATACATAACTATTTTACTTACTGAGCCTTCATTTTATAGCATGTAATATGATTTAATTGTGTGCAAGGCTTGTTATTTGTATAGTGTTAGCACTTTGAATATAAGATTTTACAGGTTTTTCTTTTTGCACTAGATTGCTGACTGATTTAAAAAGTACCTATTTAAACTAGATTAGCTCTGAGTACCAAAATTGCATTTTCTATTACACTGTACTGTTTGCTTATTAGGCTGTTTTGAATTTGATAAATTGGAATTATGTTACTTCCTACCAACTAGAAACTTCAGTTAATATAAATAATAGAAATCAAAATGCTTTTAGTTATGCATATAGCTCATAGGTATAACTATTACAAATTTTGCAAGAAAAACGGATGGATTTTATGTAATAAATACTGTGGCTGTTCTTGAGTTTTCTCACTTCTTCCATACTGTGTTTCTTTGGAGGAAGCTAAATGAAGGGTAAAATGGCAGAGAAAAATGTTTTCTAAGTTTTTGGGTCCTACATTTTTCTATTTTAGTGCTTATGTTTTTTGAAAAATGTCTATTCTTCAAGACAAAATTTCCCAGTCATATTTCCTGAAACCCTCACAGTTGAAAGAGTTACTGATTTATAAGTTTGCAGCTGCTCTTTGGAAATTCATAGTTCACAGTAGCACAGGGAAGACTCAGTGATGGTTTGCTGCAAAGAAACTGAGTTTCTTTACTGTACATTCCCCATACTAGTTTGACCACCAAAACTCTCTTTGAATAACATAGGAATAGCTTGCAAAATTTTATTCCATGAAACACACTTTGGAAACTCTTGCTTTATCCAAGCTAGCTACATTTCAGTTAAGATCATGAACTTTGTTTTCATTTTAAAGTTATTCTAATTTTTTGTTCTGTCTTTTGGGGGATAATTTTTGCATTATTTTTATATTAGTATCTTTTATTGCCTAATGTCTGCCCCCCATTTACTACGAACTTTTTTTTATTTTAAAATTTAGAGCTGAATCCATTTATGAAGAAATGAAACAGAAATATGGAACTCAGGGTTGCTATTTACTTAAAATTAATTCTCGAACGTCGAATCGAGCATCAGATGAACAGATACCAGATCCTTGGAGTCAGTATCTTCAGAAAAATAGTATTCAAAACCAGGTATATGTAAAAAACAACAATGAAGCAAACCACAAAAGCTGTATGACATAATGTTATCACTGTAGAATTTTTTATGTCTTGGTTTAACTAGTAGAATCAATATTTATTTTGGAATCTGGCTGGTTTTCATTCTTTACCATGTGAGCTCTTAAATCAGTGGTTCAAAAGCTGTTTTTAACTAATGATCCTTATATGTACTCCTTTCAGGTACATAATATCAGCGTTAATTGATCTTTTTTCTTAAAAGATGAAAAGTGAATTACACATTAAGAATTGAATTCAATTGGCTAGACATGTAGAGGTTAGAATTTTTGACTTGTACCTTTCATTCATTATGAAAGCTTATAGTCAGTTCTTTATTATTCACGTGCTCTGGGGTTGCCTTCTTTCTTTTTCAAAATGCTGTTCTTATGGCCACCTTTTGGAGCTCATACCTTGTTAGGTGGGTGGGCTTTTTTCCATAACTGTGGTGGAGCTCTACCCACAGAGCCCCCCACCCCCCACCACAGATGAGAATAAGTCTACCAGGACGTGATCTACTTGGGGAGTAAAGGTGGCCTATCTCTTGAAGGAGAAGGGCCAGGAGCCTGCTCCTCAGTGGGCTTGTATTGGGTTCCGTTTGCCCAGGAATACAGGTAAAGCTCATCAGTCATTGTCAGGCAGTAAGGATCAAACAATAGATAACATTCAGAGAACTATGAGGGCTTATTCTGAGTCAGGGTCAGTTAGCTAAAGGGCTATAAAACTTTGGGGAACAAACTCATTTCATGCTTGGACCCTTATCAGAAAATTGAGGACATTCTTAGCAAAGCAGGATTCACAGGATTTTATGCATTCTTTCTTAGGCCTGATTGCCCCAGGGAACGCCCTGTTCCTGCCCTGGGCCGCACCCACCTCCAGCATTGTTTCAGGCTTAAGTCAGGCAGGGGAAGTAAGGCAGCCAAGAGATTAGGAGACTTCTTGCAGACAGAATGAGGACTCAGGCTATGTCAAAGCTGAGGGGTGAGGGTCCATCACTCCCTTTTGCTATAGCCCCCTAAGTCCTTCCCTGGGGCCTCCCTGTGATCTGCCTGTCTTAGATCATTCCCCCCTTGAGGAATCTTTCCTGTCACTGACTAACCATTCATCCTCCCGGGGCCAAGCAGGGTGAAGTAAGAATGGGCAGAGGTGGTGTCCCTGCTAGGGAGATAAGCTTTGTCTCCTTAGTGGCTTATGGTCCCAAGGTCTTTTACTCAGCTTTAGCCATGGGGGGTTACAGCTTCTGAAACCAGGCACCTAACTTTCCTCTGATTTCCTTTCCTTCTTAATTTTCAGGAAGGAAGTATCTTCCTAATTTATTTTCTTAATCTAGAGTTCTAGACTAATGTTAACTGTTGTCAGTCGACTGAAATGGGTTGGTGTATGGTTTCACACTGTTAAACTTCTAAGATAGCATTGTGTGCTACTTAGTAGTAAATGACAAGTTCCTAAGATTAGTTCAGATAATCAAGAGTTGACTCTTTTTGTTTAGAGGTAGCATTTCTTAAGTAAGTGGAAAATAATATTTATTTTATATATCAGTAGAGCATATATAGTGCTCTACTGACATATTAATATTAAGATGATTATTTACCTTTAAGATAATGATAGGGGGGAATGTCTAAGAAACAAAGAAGCAGTTGTTTGTGAAGGGGCTCTATTTTTAAAATGAGAATACACTCAGAATAGGAACAGTATCGAAATGCTCAGTTTAGGGCCCAGCTATCTAAGGTTGGGAAGGGCAACATAAGTCAGATTGTTCAGTTTCAGAACATTTAACAGAAGACGGCAGATATCAGCAATTCTATAGCTTATAACCCAGAAGCCCAGCATTGGAGGATAGTTGAAAGGTTATCAAATCCAACTGCTACTTTATAATGGTTTAATTTCCTTTGAACCGATGAATAACTTCATCTAGTGACAGTATACTTTACCTTCTCAGGTGACACTTTCCAAGTTTGAACAGCTTTGAGAATCAACCAAAAATTTTCTCCCTTTGTTTGTACTCATTAGTCCTGTGAGGACTGTATAAATTTTCTGTTAAGACAACTTTTAAAATATAGGAGGATAGTACTCATGTCTTCTTTTATTCTTTTTCCAGGCTAAATATACCCAATTTTAAAAAAAAATTTTTAAATGATGGCTTCAGGCCATTTCTTGTCATGATCACTTTCCTGTTGCTAAGTTCTAGTTTATATATTTCCCTTAATGTATGGCACTTGGAATAATACCTCATACTTACTGGTCTCATGGACAAGTCTGGGTATTTTTAGTTTTCTTTGTTGACTGAAAAATCAGTGCCTTTGTACAAATAAATATTGCATTGGACATTTTTCCAAAACATTCTGATATATTCAGTATGCGCTCTAATATATTAACACTGGCTTCATGACCAGGTGATTCCATACCATCTTTCTTTTTTTTTGCCCTGGCTTGACTCTAGTAGTCCATCTCTCTTGCTGTTATTCTTTACTTAGACATGTGTACAAATATTCATGACTGGCTTTTATCTATGACATATAAACAGATTTAACTGAGCTGGAGATAATTTGAATTCAGAAGAATTAGAGCAGATTGAATGTGAAAGGGAATTTAAGATTACAGTAGGTATAGACTAGAGTGCTAGTATAAGATACATGGAAAATGTTAAGAATCTGGAGATTGGAAGAAAAGAGTCTTGTTGAAGCAGATAAATGAGATGGACAGTTAGCAGAGCAACCATACTTGTTGATGGATTTAGTGTTATCTTAAACATGGTTAAATATAAGTGCTTAATGCCTTTTATTTTATTTTGATAGGAATCATATGAAGATGGCCCTTGTACTGTAACTTCAAATAAGAATTCTGATAGTAACTTGCTTTCATTGGATGGATTAGATAATGAAGTCAAAGGTCTTGATACATTTTCTTTACATTTCTCTTTTGATTGAAAATATGCACTGTTGTCAAAGCATGCTAAACTTTATAGATTAAAGATGGGAGAAATTTTCATAATAAAATGAAGTTAGCTTTATTTGACACTTAAAATTTGTTTTGTATGAGTAAAACACTTAAAAATTCTTTTGTATTAAGCAAGAGAATAGAGGATGTGCAGCATGATTATTTCCAAAATTCACATTTTATTTTTGTATTTTAAATTATGGTTTCAGTAGTAGGGGTAGATTTAGAAATTTTTATTTTAATTTTTCTAATTGCCTATTTGAGCTATTTGAAAGTAATTCTTTATATTAAAAATTGTTTTTGATTTATGTACATGAATTTTAAAATTTCTGTTATGTGTAACAAGTGTTAACCCAAGGCCTGTAGTTTTTAATCTTTATAAGATTCTTATTTTTTAGACAGAGGGGAAGGGCGGGAGAAAGGAAGGGAAAGAAGCCTTAGCGTGTGGTTGCCTCTCACGCTCCCCCTACTGGGGACTTGGCTGGCAACCCAGGCATGTGCCCTGTTTGGGAATTGAACCCGTGACTCTTTTGTTTGCAGGCCAGTGTTCAATCCACTGAGTCACACCAGCCAGTGCCCAAGACCTGTAATTTTAAAGGGGAAATGATTAATGTTATTGTATCATAGACATCTATGATATAGATATACAGAAAAATACAGGATTCCAACATTCTTTTTTCCTTTAATAATAATATTGTCACATTCTGAGAGTAAAAGAAAGATCTGTTTTTTCAGTAGATGGCTTACCAAATAACTTTAGAGCTCACCCACTTCAGTTGGACTCATCCAGTGACCCTTCTAACAGCATTGATGGCTCAGATCGTGTAAAGTCTGCTTCATCATTACATGACACAAAGAAAGCAAATACTGGAATAATTCATGGTGCATGTTTAACCCTCACTGATCATGATAGAATTCGACAGTTTATACAAGAATTCACATTTCGGGGCCTTTTGCCACATATAGAGAAAACAATTCGGCAATTAAATGATCAGGTAAGATTTAATTTTTTAGATTAGTATTTTTAAAACCAGTAAATAGTAAACTTGAGAATATAGTAGTATAAGATATTTAAAGTATTTGAAGTATTTAAAAAAGATTAGACCAGTGTTAGAATTTACTAACATTACTATCTAATGAAATTCTATTAAATCTTAAATGAGGCTTACTCATTTTCATTGGGAATTTTGCCAGCATATTGGACAGTTTTTTTTTTTTAAACAATGTTGTTAAAATGAGCATTTGCTCACTATTAAAGCTTTTTACTTAGAATTTTTTCTTTTGTATGTAAAAGAAAAATATTCTCACATTTGTCAACATTTCATCTTTTAGCTAATATCAAGAAAAGGTTTGAGTCGATCTCTATTCTCTGCAACTAAAAAATGGTTTAGTGGCAGTAAAGTTCCAGAGAAGAGCATTAATGAGTTGAAAAATACACCTGGATTGCTGTGAGTGAAATATCTTTTTCTTCCTGTGCTTAACTCTGACTAGTGTTTGACTCGTTGATGTCCTGTAAAAAATGACTGTTTCTTCATTTTCTTACTTTCATATTGTCAAAACTCAGGCAGATAAGAATGGTGACTATAGATAAATTATGTTAATTAAAATAATTTAAGTAATTTGATATTCAAAAATAAAATAACCAGAAAAGTCATTTTACTTGGTTCTGTTCCCCTATTTGTAAATTGATGGAGTTAGATTAGGTGTTCATTGATGACTCTTCTATTGTAAACTTGTGGTCTTGTGATTCTAAGACACCCTATATTTAGAAAATTTTCTTTAATATAGAATCCTCATTTAAGGGAAAGTAAAAGTAACTCATTTTGTTTTTCCTGGTTATATATAAAACTGGAATGAATCATTTACTTCATAATTTGACCATAGAGAAAATGCTTGCCTGTTATTGAGAAGTTCTCAGTATAGACATATAAATTATATAAATAAAGATATAACTATATTTCCCCAGATATCTTTTGAGACATCTCCTTGGAGGTAGAATTTTTGTAAAACAGGATCAGTTTTCCTCATGCTCTGGGCAGTTAAGCAGCTGTTGAACATTTTATAATATATAACAGTGTAGGGTTCATAAATTACAAATTCCTTTCTTAACTTACGTTGTGTTTATAGGTATCCACCAGAAGCACCAGAGCTTCAAATCAGGAAAATGGCTGACTTATGTTTCTTGGTGCAGCATTATGATCTGGCTTACAGTTGTTATCATACTGCAAAGAAGGATTTTCTTAATGATCAAGCAATGCTTTATGCAGCTGGTGCCTTGGTCGGTATTCTATATATTATAATTTATTTCTGCTATCATAACATGATATAAAAATTTCTCTTTATGAAATGGCAAACAAAATACCTACAGATAAAATTGTACTCACCGAGTACACGGTGCTTTAGAGGTTTTGAATTAGGATAGCTGAATTGATGGGTTTTCCTCAAACTAGTGCATTTAAACATGGTAATGTATGAGTGTTGATTTCTCAGTTTTGATTAGTACTTTCTAATTTTTGTGTTTTCAAAATTTAATTTGAATTTCAATTACTATATTCAAAATGTAAAGTGTTTGTTAGAAGGTGCTTTTAACCTCTTGAAAAGTCTTGTATTATATATTTTTAATCTGATCATTTATTTTTTAAAAAATATTTTATTTATTTATTTTAGAGGGGCGGGAAGGGAAGGGGAAAGAGAGGGAGAGAAACATCAGTGTGCCAGAGAAACCATTGGTTGTCTCTCACATGTCCCAGCTAGGGACTTGGACCACAACCCTGGCATGTGTCCCACCCAGAATCGAGCTGGTGACCTTTTGGTTCACAGGGCATTGCTCAGGCCAGGCTTGAAAATCTTTTAAATTTGCTCGAAATGTTTTGTTTTTTTCCTGATGCAAGACTATATATTGGTTAAGAACATGTACTATGGTATAAGACAGACTGTTCTCTTATGCAAATTACTTAATATTTCTGAGCTTCAGTTTTCTTGTCTGTTAAGTGTGAATCTTAATGGCATAGGATTAGAGAAGGCAGAAGGCATGTAAGCTGCTTAGCATGCCATTTTGTAAATAATAAACTGTAAGAATTGGCTGTGTTAGTTTTTGTAATTGATATGTAAACACTCGGAATTTTCTATACTTGTTGATAATCTTTTAGTACTTGTGAAAAACTGTAAATATATGTATAATCTGCTTTCTGTGCTTAGAAAAAAGTAAAACTAGCACTGTAACTTTTTACTTAACCTTTTTTAAAATGTGTAAGCTTATAAACAGAAGTGTGAAGAACAAAATGTGTAAGAACTCTGCTCCATTGTGTGGTTATGTAGGTATTTGCTTGATTGCTCTCTTTGCATTTTTTAACACTGTGTGTATATATACAACTAAAACGGGTAGCTTAAAAATGTGAAGCTAAAATAGCAAAATTATATTACTCTTTTCTATATTTTCAATGAAAAAGTCAACTAACTTAAAAAAAATTTTTTTAACTTTTTTTTTATTGTTGTTCAAGTACGGTTGTGAATTAACCTTTTAACCGTCTTGTTCAGGAACGGAAAATATGCTGTATTCAAGTGTTTGAAAAATTACATGAACTATCCCTGTTTAGACATTCTCTGGTCTTTTACTATAGTTATCAAATGTAAGATAATATGAAATCACACATACGTAATGTTATTTCATTAATACCTTATAACATAAGTGTACCTCTACAATCATTAAATTTTACATAATATTCCTGCAAATTGAATGTTTGTATATAGGCAAAATCTTCTAAAAGTATGGCAAAAAAATTTCTATGATTTTATGGCACTTAGGCTTTTTCATTTTTATCTACAGTATGATAAATATTGCATTTAAGCCATTTAGACAAAGATAATAGTGGCAGCTCTATGAGAGAGAATAGTTTAGCACTGGAAAATAAAGACATATCTGTTATAATATATGCACATGAGAAAATCCTTTTAGTCTGTAATGGCTGCCCTAAAATAATAGGCCTTGGGGGAAAATAACATCTCTATCTTTGTAACCAGAACACAAACAAATGCATAAATAGTAAATATGTATTTTTTGTGCAATACAGGGTGGAGCAAAAGTAGGTTTACAGTTGTGAGTATATGAAACACAATATATTCTTTTACTATCTTTATTATTGTGTTCTGTAAATTACATATATAACATATGTAAATTTATTATGTATTTTAAAATATTAAACCAGTTAAGAAAATGTGGTATATAATATTTTGTCATATGGGTATGACACAAGTTTCGTTAGGTTTGTTCAGTAAGTTTGGGAACGCATACGGTGGGGTGCTAAGGATACAGAGGTACTCGGAAACTCTCAGTGTATCAGGTTAACGGCTTTAAACACATCCCAATTTTAGATAATTAAATTATTTTTATATTGTTTTTGCATGTGTGTTTTAAAAAATATAGAGAAATACATTTATTCATCCTAAAAGTAGATTGGCATTAACAGTTTTTTCTCTTAATTTATGAAGATTTCATTTAGTTCTCAAATTTTCATTAAAACTTGGTTTGTATGAGAGTGCAAGTATGGACATAGGATATTTTACTAAGAAAACCAAACCTGTATTTTAATCTTCTTTTCTAAGTCTTTTAGTACCATTGCATATTATTTAAATTATTAACTAAAGTTACAGACTTTGACGAGAAGATGGGTTTTGAAGATGAAATAAAAAGACCCAGGAAGTTCACAGTAATATTGGTCTAAGAAATGTGTTTTGTGTCTTTTGTTATGGTACAGGGTATAAACTAGAGTGTGAAAATAATTGAAAATGTGTATAGTGTAACCTATTGTGAACTTTGTTTTCATATTTTGATGCCAACAATGGGAAAGAGATGTATTTTATTTTGTCTCTCTCTGTATGCTCCTATCATTGGTCTGTTTTCTACTCACTGAGGAATAGGAATAACAGTGAGGAAGTGGTAGCAGAAATCTTAAGCCAGACTTACTTGGTAGCTATATATGCCCTAACTCAAAGTGTTTACTAGGTCTTCTTGAAAATCTTATTTAAATAGTGAATGACAGACTTTGGAATTTGACTGAGAATTTAAAAATTAAAAGTATATAAATGTCTTTTAAGTCTGTTTATCGTATGTATGTACATGTATAAAAAAAATCCTAGCAAATGTCATTGCATTTTTTAGGTTTTGTGAATGCTAAACCACAAGAATATTTCTCTCCTTTTGAAATAGTATAAGTAATATCTTTTCCTTTAGGAAATGGCAGCAGTGTCAGCATTTCTTCAGCCGGGTGCACCTAGGCCATACCCTGCACATTACATGGATACAGCAATCCAGACATATAGGGATATCTGCAAGTAGGTGACTAGAAAATTTATGTTCTTTCCACTTAGAAGGAAATTTGGCATTTATATTGTTCCTGGATATAAATGTTTCTTTGTTTTTCTTACAAGCTCCTAAATCAGGTTAATATAGTCAGAGACAAAATGAGGTAATCTTTTAAAACTAGTGTTTTACTACATTGTCCTTTCCTATTTTGTTTGGATTTGTGGTTAGGAATTTGTTATATGTAATGTTGAGACTACATGTTATAGTGAAGGTGATTTGTATTGTGGGAACATCTAACCTTAACACTGGAGTGTTAAGTGTTAACCTTAACACTGGAGTGTTAAATGACTAAGCCAGGAGTTAGTCATTTTGAACTTCATTTCTAAATAAGGCAAAATACAAACAGTTAAATAATAGTCCAGACAAGAAAATGAGAAGTGTGTTGTGCACATAGTGAGTTCTGTTAGAACCCATTACCTATAATGAGACTATGAACTGGTCCAGAAGTAGTCAGGAAGTTTCATGGGATGTTTGGAGAATAGACCTGGAAAGAGAGATGGTTGGGATTTGATAGGCATTAAAGGCAATTCAGAAACTGTGATTGGAAAGGATGGTTTGGATGCAGCCTCACTAAAGAAAGGGAATAGCCCTTAGCTAGTTTGGGGGTTTGAGAATATGAACAGTGTTGAGTGGTAAATTTGGAAAGATGGTTTGAAAGAAATCAGTGTGAGGATCCTTAACACTCTTATTATTTTTTTTAAGCTATACTTAAGAGTTATGTAGTAGTAAATGGGGAGTTACTGAATATTTCAGTGCAGTCTTGACATAATAAAAGTTGCTTTTCAGGAAGATTAATCTGACTTTTCTATGTAGCATGCATGGGTTGGAAGATGAGTTGCAGTTTTGTCCTTTATAATGTTGTCCAAATGTAAGTAGTATTAGTCATGATGTTATGTTTATGGCACAACACTAATAGTAATTAATTTTTATTGAATGTTCAGCATTTGCCACTATACCAAAGTAATTTACATGCTCATTTAATTTTAAGCCTATAAAATGGTGGGTACTACTATTTTTTTAAGATTTTATTTATTTTTTTAGAGAAGGGAAGAGAGGGAGAAAAAGGGAGAGAAACATCAATGTGTGGTTGCCTCTCATGTGCCCCCCACAGGGGGCCCGGCCTGCAACCCAGGCATGTTCCTTGACTGGGAATGCACAGAGCATTTGGAGAGATGCTTGTGGAATGACGCAGAAGAAAAAGGATAATACCTTATGACCCAGACAGCCAAAATAGCTTTGGCAGTCCAATCTAGTCATCTTGTCCACAACAGACTATATTTATGTCTAAATATGCACTTACTATTATGCATTTACCTAATAATCTTCATTTCAAGTTACCATAATTGGTAAGATGTATCATGAATTTAATAGATATTTTAGGATAACTAGAAACACTACATTAATTATATATGTCAATTTTAAGAAGCTCTCTGTTTCAGAAATATTAAGATGTAAATCAATTTTCTTAAAATACAGGAATATAATAGTACTTTTGCAATGCTCACTTCTTCATATACCAGGTTCCACTTTTTAACTGATGAGAGGTCCTATTTATTCTGTGCTTTTATATAGGGGTTATGTCATAGATACTCTTGAATCCTCAGCATTTCCACTGTCTCACACAAATGATTTTTTAAAATGTTGCTTGAATTAACAGATTATTGAAGTCCTGGACTTGGTAGCCTTGTGACTTAATAACTGACTACATGGAGAAATGGATGCAGAATCAAACATAAATACCATATTTTGCTGTGTATAATGTGCAGTTTTTTGCCCAAATTTTTTTTTGAGGGGAAAAAAAGGGGGCACATTATACATGGGTAGTACCTGAAATACTTTGTATTTGTTCTTGTGTTTTGTAATTATTTGTCACATAAAATTTCTTGTACCATAATATGTTAAAAAATAAATGCAAAAATTCCTTTATAATACAAAAACATGTATCCAAATATAAATAAATAAAATTTTGAATTAAAAAATTAAAACCAAAGTTTTTTTCCTGAAAGTTTTGGCCAAAAACATGGGTGCACATTATGCACAGCGAAATACAGTAAGTGGAATGATAGTGTTAAGATTTACAACTGAGGCATATTCGAACATATTATATGTGAGTAGGAGTTAGTCTTTTGTGTTCATTAATACATTCTTAGTTAATTCACAAATAACTCTCTAAGAAAACCATGTTATGTAGAAAGTTTATGGTAGAATCTACAATATTTTTTGTAATTTTTGAAATTAGTAAATTCTGTTTTAAAAATACCACTCTTCAGAATGACCTTCAGGTTAGTAATTTTTGGTTGTAATTTTAAGATCAAGGGGTGTTTTTATGTAAGGATTAGAAAGTAAAAAGAGAAGAACTTTGCTGCTATTTCTCAAAAAAAGGGTTCCATCTTGTAATTTCACAGTAAGATTATTTTCATTTATATTTATTATTTTCAAGAATGAATAATCCAGCTGTAGATTACTGATGGTAGTAGTCCACAGAGAAAAATCGAGATTGTGTTTTCACAAAGATTTTGCTCAGGAATCAGTCAGGTGACACTGGCCTCATGTTATCTGTAATTGAAACTTCTCAGTGGTACTACTGGAGGAAAAAAAGTCTAAATATTTCTACAAACTAGCCAGTAAAATGAAACACGCATAACCAAGAGTTTTCTTTTTCTTTTTCTTTTCATTTTTTTTATTGTTGTTCAAGTACAGTTTTCTGCCTTCTTCCCTCACCCCTCCTGACCACTCCAGCCCCCCCTGCCTCCCTCCCCCATTTCCACCCCCCTTTGTTATTGTCCATATGTCCTTTATAATTGTTCCTGTAAACTCTTATAACCAAGAGTTTTCAATGAGGAAGAAGAAATATGAGTGAAATGTTTGTATTAATTTCTGTTCAGAACAAGTTTTATTTGGTAAATAGCTGCTGGTTTAGACACACTAGTTAAGTTTTAGCTTTTTTATATTGTATTCTTACCACAAAATTACATGATAAAATGTTCTGATGAGTAATGACAATTCTTAGGAGTTCTTTTTTTTAACCTTTTTGGTAAATGGAAAACAAGAACATGGATTTCTTTTTACTTGAAAATTAGAATTGAAAACTTCTGTTGAACAGATGGTTACTATGATGTATTAAGATTATATTGTGGTGCTAATTATATTTTTCTTGTCTTATTTTTTTAGGAATATGGTATTGGCTGAAAGATGTGTATTGCTTAGTGCTGAAATCTTAAAAAGCCAAAGCAAATATTCAGAGGCTGCAGCTCTTCTAATACGGCTGACCAGTGAGGTACTGAAACTGTGAAGTATTTGTTTTAATTAGTGTTACTTCATAATTTTTATAAAGTGTTTTTGAGAGGGTGTGCAAAACAAAATTAGAGGGGAATCTTGGAATTTATAACATGGCTATTTTAGTTAGTTATTGACATTAATTTTAAATGCAATGTTTTATAAACTGGTTTTATTTTATTTACAGATTTAAGTGTACATTATTATTAACCACAAACATGTGTTGTACATCTTCTGTGAATTAGGTTCTGACCTATGCATAACAATATTTAAAGTAATAAGCATGTGTATCATTCCTAATGTAAAATTGATACTTAAAAAGAGTAATCACTCAGGAACTTTTAATCTTATTTTACTAATATGAACTTAAAAAATCACCTAAGGATTAAAAAAAATCTATATTATGAATATTTAAAAAGGGAGAAAAAGCAATCCATTTATAGTTATTATTAAAGGTTTATAATGCATTATTAAGTTGCATTGCGTATACAAGCTTGTAAAGAATGGTTGTAGTTGCTTTAAAGTATGGTTAAAGACACATTTTTAGATGAAGGCTTAAGAACAAAAGAACAAAATCAAACCCCTCTTCTCTTTGCCCCTTAAATATTAATGCAGTGTACACTATGGTTTCAGTCCTTGGATCACTCTGTACTTTTCACTCTATACACTTTCGGGGGGTGATTGGTTCACAGTCATGATTTTCAGATCTGTCTCCGGCCCTGACTTCTTGAGTTTTAGATTTATATGGCTGACTGCCTTTTAGATTACCAACTTGGGTGTTTCTAGTGCACCTTAAAGTTGACATATCAGTTACTAACTTCATCAGCTTTCTTACCTTTATAGATTGTGATATTAAATTGTCATAACCACCCAGCTCCTCATTTGATCAGGGCAGAAACTAGTTGAATGCTCCCATATTCTCTTACCTGTCAGTAACACAATTGGAGGGTGCTGGTGAACTTTTTAAATATGCATTCTTTTTATATCTCCAAATATTATACTTCTCTCTCTTTTTTAAAAAAATCCTTCCTGCTACTGTCCTGGTTCATGTCCTTTATGTCCTTCTCCTGGTCCTTTCCCTCTTTCTTCACCTAATTTACTAGTCCTGATATCAGTTAGGTCCTTCATATAGTCATCCGCAATACACCAGGTTATTCTAAGTGTCTCTGTCATTCACTCTCATATAATGCTGTAAGACTTGACTTGTCATATTAGATTGGAAATTACATTTAAGCGGTTAGCTTTTGAGACTAGAGGTCTGTGTAGCCATCTATACTTTTATCTGTAGTGCCTAACACTGGGCTTGTCACATGGTATATGGTTTACAAATGTTTTTTGAACTGAACCATTAATTATTCTAAAAAGGTTTCTGTAAGATATAACTAATTGGGTTAATAGATGCCAATACAACGTGTAATAATTGATGTTGCATGAACACTGACCTCTACGAACAGTTGCCAAACATAAACTATTTGATAGAGCTGAATGTAGGCTCTTGGGTGTGTTGGTGGTCTGTATTATAATAAGTAATCTTAATTTGGGTCTGAATATGTTGCTGTGTTTTTTATCCTAGGGATTATCAGTGAATGTAAAGGAATTTATGGTTTAGGAGCTTGAATAAAAAAGTTTCTTAAGAGCAAATTCTTCTGTCTGCATTGTAACCTTGTTATTTTTTGTCATTGTTCTCTTTTCTTTTCAACTCTTTGTTTTCACCTTTCTTTTTCAAACCTGAATGATTTATTTTGTCATGAAATTCTAGCAAATTTATCATTCTTATTTACTGCTTTGGGGCTATGTGTGGAATGTTTCCTTAGAAATAGTGATTCTCAGTGGCCTTTTCTGCTGTACCTTTCAGATATATCTTTGCAATAACTTGAAAGTGAAGATTTCTAGGCATAACGTATATAAAATTGTTAAATTTTAACTAATAATTTGTATTTATTGTATGAATATTATTAACTAGAAAGGCTATATAATATCATGGAAAGTTCACTTCGTCTTGTGAACAGGGTACTGAGTTACATATTTTTGACATTCATGAATTGTTTCCTAAATTTTTGCTAATACCATTATAGCAAAAGAAAGCTCTGAGGCCTGGGTGAAAAGACTTGTACTTTGGCTTTGTATTTTGGACTGCAAGTTTATGGGCAAGTGAATCTTATGCTATGCTCTGGGATTCTTAGCATGGTAGAGCAATCCCACCATAATGACAAAGCATGCCACATTCACCACCACATAGGATAGTATGTTTGCATTTGATGTTTAAAACAAGATACTTTTCCTCTATTTGTGTCTCTGTTTCTGTGTTGAACATTTATTCTTGTCTTGTAGCCCTTTTGGTTTGTTACTTCATTTAAATACATTAAATCAGTTCTCAGGTATAGTAATGGCAGCAATTTTTATAAATTTCTTCAGCTTGGGAGAAACTGTTCTCATCTTAAATTGATCAGCTGATCACCATTCCTGTTTATCTCATAATTGTGCAAAGAAAAAAAAATCTTACAGCTACCCTTGAGATTTTATTTAGTTAAGTTTGTGCAACTGGTGCCTTTATCAGCTGTGTTTATTGAAGCCTCTAGTTTAGATGATTCCCCCCCACTACTATATTTATCCTCGTAATTTAAGATAATGTTTGCTTTTTCAGCTTTTGTTAAAATTATCTCTTGGTTGTGGGCAAAGTTCTTAGGCTGGAGTTCTTGTTAAAGTGGTATCACATGTTTTTTCTTAGTTCCTTATAGAGTGTATATAATAGACTTGTCATAGCATAGATATGAACTACCAGAAAAGAAAATTTTATAGCTTCTGCTTTCTGGATAAAATTATCACTGTGAAATTCTTTTACTATTCTTTTATCAGCACTGATGGCAGTTGTCATTCTTTTCAAGGCCTTTTTTCTTTTTTCTTTTTCTGTGACAATAGGATCCTCTCTATGGTATTTTCTCTTTCTATTTTTTAAAATTATAGTTTATTGATTATGATATTACCGTTGTCCCAATTTTTCCCCCTTTGGTCCCCCTCCATCTAGCACCACTGGACTCCCTCAGGCAATACCCACACCTTTATTCATGTCCATGGGTCATGTGTATAAGTTCTTCAGCTAGTCCCTTTTCTATACTGTACTTGACATCCCCTTTTCTGTAACTACCTATTTTTACTTCTTAATCCCCTCACCTCTTTATCCTGTCCTCCACATCCTCTTCCCATCTGGCAACCATCAAAATGCTCTCTGTATCCATAATTTAGTCTCAGTTCTTCTCGTTTGCTTAGTTTGTTATTTAGTTTCAGTTGTCAATAGATATGTATTTATTGCTATTTTATTTTCTAGAGTTTTGATCTTCTTTTTCTTAAATAAATCCCTTTAAAAAGTTTCATATAATAGTGGTTTGCTGATGGTGAACTCCTTTAGTTTTTTCTTGTCTGGGAAGCTCTTTATCTGTCCTTCAATCTAAATGATAGCTGTGCTGGATAGAGCAATCTTGGCTCTAGGTCCCTGCTTTTCATGACTTTGAGTATTTCTTGCCAATCCCTTCTATCTTGCAAAGTTTCTTTTGAGAAATCATCTGACAGTCCTATGGGAATTCCTTTATAGGTAACTGACTGCTTTTCTCTTGCTACTTTTAAGATTCTCTCTTTATCTTTAACCTTTGGCATTTTAATTACGATGTGTCTTGGAGGAGATCTCTTTGCATCCATCTTGTCTGGGACTCTGTGCTTCCTGAACTTGCATGTCTGTTTGCTTCACCAAATTAGGGAAGTTTTCTTTCATTATTTTTTCAAATAGATTTTTCAGTTTCTTGCTCTTTCTCTTCTCCTTCTGGCACCACTGTAATGCGAATGTTGGAATGCTTGAAATTGTCCCAGAGGCTGTATATGCTCATTTTATTGGATTCTGTTTTCTTCTTGTTGTTCTGCGTGGCTATTTTTTGGCTCCTTATGTTCCAAATCATTGATTTGATTGTCACATTCATCAGCCCTAATGTTGTTTCCCTGTAAATTGTCTTTTATTTTAATTAGTGTATCCTTTGTTTTTAACGGGGTCTTTTTTATGCTGTTGAGGTCCTCCCTAAATTCTTTGAGCATCCTAATAACCAGGGTTTTGAACTCTATATCTGATAGATTGCTTATCTCCATTTTGTTTAGTTCTTTTTCTGGAGTTTTCATCTGTTCTTCTGTTTGAGCTGTTTCTTTGTCTCCTCATTTTAGCAGCCTCCCTGTCTTGGTAGCATGGGCTAATGTAGTAGCTGTCCTTTAGGGTCCAGTGGCACAGCCTCCCCTGTCATCCAAGCTGAGTACTTGAGGTATGCCATCCATGTGGGCTGAGTACACCCTCCTCTTGTAGTTAAGCCTTGATTGCTGTTGGCAGGTCAATGGGAGGGATTTAACCAGGTCAGTCAGCTGCAAGGACTGGCTGTGACTGCTGACCACCAACTTCTGTTCTCTGTGTAGGATCATCTGTGTAGGGGCATGGTGGTGGTGCTCTGACATTGTCTGTAGTTCTGTGCTTGGTGCACAGGCTGTGGGGTTTCCTGGGTGATACAGGCCAAGGTCAGCCTTCACCTGTGTTCTGATTAGGGCCACCCTGCATGGGATACAAAGCCATCTGCAGATGGCTGTTGCTTGTGCTGGGTTTGGAGGTTCCCAGGCAAAGCCAAGCTGTGAACATAGGCTAGCTACTGCTAGTGTCAGTCCTGGGGACCTGTACAGGGGTTGGGGGCTTGAGGAGGCGGATGAGGCGGATGAGGCCGAGGCCGAGGCCGGCTGATGCTTGTTTGAGAGGATTTAGGAAGTTGCAGAGCATGTGCCAACATTGGCCATTCTTATGGAAAAGTCACTGTTAACAGCTTGGGTGGGCGTCAGTTGGGTGGGGCAGAGACTCTGGCGATCTCCAGAGGGGGGGTCAGACAATGGCGCCTATCTGCGGGCTCTTTGACCTTGTGAGGGGAAGATTAAGCAAAGTAATAGTGTCCTCTACCTGCCTTTCTGTCTGGGGAAAGCTGTCCCCCAGCTCTCTCCTTGAGGTCAGACACTTCAGTTCCTGCCTGTATGCCTCTGGTCCCTTTCAAGCTCCTACCCCAGTGCTGGAGCTCAGAGGGAGTGAGTCTGAGTAAGTCTGTGTGTAAGTTCTTGTAGAGGTTCTTGGGAGTCCAGCAGTTTCTTCTACCCATCACAATCCCCACTGGTTTTTGCAGCCAGAAGTTATGGGAACTTATCTTCCTGGCATGGGAACCCTGAGCTGGGGGATCTGCTGTGGGGCTGGGACTCCTCAGTCCCGAGATACCCCTTCTGAACTTTTATCTAAAACACTTGGGTTTGTGATTAGCCAATTCAGCCTCTCCATGTCTTCGCCCCTCCTACCACTCTGGATGGATATAGTTTCTTTAATCCTGTAGTAGTCAGACTTCATTCAACTTGATTTCTAACGTTTCTGAGTGATGGTTACTTTATAATTTAGTTGTAATTTTGATGTAGTTGTGTGAGGAGGTAAGCCATGTTTACCTGTGCCTCTACCTGACGTCCCAGGGCTTTTTTTGTGTGTTGTTTCAAAGCAATATTTTTTCCACTTTAGGTGTCACTATAATAGACAGTGACTAACAAAGAACTAAGCTGCAATGAGATATGAATGGAGGATATTCAGATCTGCAAATTGATCTTTCTCAGATGACACTTTACTGAGTGCAAGAGTCAGATTGTGCTTTAGCTAAATTAATATGTGCCATGGACTTCCAGGCCTCCTGAATTGGTCAGTCCTTCAGTGTTAAGTTTGAGAATGCTGAGGGTTTACTGTGCTGGTTCTTAAACTGGATTGCACACACCATCAAAGATATCTATGGCATATTCCTTACATTATATATTAATTGGAATGTCCAGGATTGCTACCCATCTGAGTTCTGCAATTTAATGAAGCTTCCTTGGCAATTTAAAATATATATATGTATAGTTATATATTTATGCTATGTGTGTGTTTGTGTGTTATGTGTACATGCATGCTAGAAATAAACTTAAGAAATTTATAGGACTAAAAGAAGAAAATTGTGAAACTTCATTGAGAAGTCTAAATAAAATTGCACAACGAAGTAATTAGGAGGATGTACCTGTTCTATATGTTAAAATATATTCTAAGGGTATAGAAATTAAAACTGTTTACACTGATAAGAATAGACAGAGTAAAGTAATAGAATGAAAATTTAAATACTACTTGTGATTAGGTGTCATTTAATTTAGCGAGATGTGTTAGGTAATTCACTAAATGCTACTGTGACAGCTAATTAACTGTTTGGGGTTGGATTCCTGTCTTACTCTTTGCATGATAATATATTGGACTGGCCAAAAAGTTTGCTTAGTTTATTTTTTGTAATATAAAAGACATATTTTATTATTGTTTATTTGTTTATTTTAGAGAGATGGGAAAGGAGGCAGAAAGAGAGGGAGAGAAACATTGATGTGCAAGAGGTAGGGTGATAGGTTGCCTCTCACATGCCCCTAAATGGGCACCTGGCCTGCAACCCAGGCTTCTGCCCTGACTGAGAATCTGACCAGCGACCTTTTAGTTCGTGGGCCAGCACTCAATCCACTAATCCACACCAGCCAGGGTAAAAGATGCATTTTTCATTTTCACAATAACTTGACTGATTTGGGTATTTGACTATGTTGGCTATCTCCTGCATAGTATAATGTTGATTGTTCTCAGTTAATGACTTGATCGCTGTCAACTTCAGCCCATCTACTTGACTGTGAAGCATCATCCAGCAAGGAAATCTCCAGCACAAAACTTCTCAAACCACTTTTGAAATGTTTGGTGAGTCACAGCACCTTCACCATACACTGCACAAATCTTTTTGTGCATTTCAGCTGCATTTTTACCTTTCTTGAAATAATAAAGCATAATATGCCAAAAATGTTGCTTATTGTCTTCTATCTTTAATATTAAAATGGCTATACAAAAAGTCACCAATATTTTTTAAATGCATGCTGATATGAGACAATGCAATCTAACAAAATTGTTTCAAATGAAGTTAAAGAACACTAAGTACTACTAGAGCCTTCTTACAGGAAAAAAAAACTTTTTGGCCAACACAATAATTATAGCTGGATTAATTATAATGTGAAAAATAAAATCTGGAAAAAAAGCCTAGAAGAAAATACAGGGGAGCATTTAAAAAAAATCTAGTAATGATAACATCTTTTGCTAGTGTGGTGCAGTGTCCTGAAGTCATAAAAGCAAAGATAGTATGCTTGACTACTAAAGAATAAACTCTTTCATGTCAAAACTGGGAAATAATATGTGCAAATATTATTTGCACAAAGTCCTGATTTCGATTAAGTGTACAAAGGGTCCTTATAAAACATATAGTCACAAAAACCCATTCACAAAAGGGTATAAACAGGCAGTTCACAAAAAAAGTACAAAGACTTTTAAACATAATAAAAGATGAACAGGCTTACTATTAAAGAAATGTATGTTGAAAAACAAAGTCATTTTTTTTTCTTTTATTAAAGAGGTAAAGATTTAAAAAATGATCTTGGGCTGAGTAGAGTAGAAAAAATACATATAGCATTCTCTGTTGATGACAATATTTATTGGTAGTATTTTTCTGTAGCAGTTTGGCTGTATTGATTAGAATTTGAAGCATGTACATAGCTTTCATTACTCAGAAGTTCTACTTCCAGAAATTTGTTTAATAAAAATATTTTTATAATTACTCAAATGTGTTTAGAAGGATGTTCATTGAAGCACATTTTTTGTAGTTACAAAAGCTTGAAGCAGTATTAATTGGAGACTATAGAAATTCTGGTACATTTTATAATGGAATACATGTAGCTTTAAAAGAAATGAGAGATGTAGAGGTCTTGGAAAGATGTCCGTGATCCTAAGTTTAAAAAGCAAAATAAAGACTACTTTGTATGATACCATTTATTCATTAAAAAGTATATGTATTCTTAAAAAACTAACATAAGCACTCATGATAACATATGCATATACTATATGCATATATATGTATATATATGTAATATATACTAAGCTGGCAAATCAGATGAAGCATAGGATGGGAAAGAAAGATGCTCACTTTTTTTCTTCAAACTTGTAGTTTTTAAGGGAAAAAGTGTCTGTAGTTAACTTTTTAAAAAGAAAATATTTTCTAAATAAAATAAAGATGTTGCCCTGATTGGTGTGCTTCAGTGGGTTGGGCATCATCCTGCATACTGAAAGGTCATTGGTTTGATTCCCTCCTGGTCAGGGCACGTTCCTGGCTTGCAGGCCAGGTCCTGTGTTGAAGGGCTTGTGGGAGGCAACCAATTGATGTTTCTCTTATGTATTGTTGTTTCTCTCCCTCTTTTCTTCCCTCTCTTCCCCTCTCTCTAAAAATAAGGAAATAAAATCTTCATAAAATCACTTCTTTAAAAAATTAAAAGCAAAAGCAAAGCTCCCCAGCTCCCCCAAGTAAATCTGATGAATTGTTATAGAATTGCTTGTTAATTGTATAGTCTTGGTTTTTCCCACTTAATTAGCTTTTGGATCTTAGTTACCAGAAAAATTATCTGATTATTACTTTCTGTCATGAGGGAGTTGAAATAGATAATATCTACCATTTATACAGAATGCTTTCTAGAGTGTTTCCTTAGATCTATTCCGGCTCTAATATTTTATGATTGCTACAGAGATAGTTATAATAATGATCTATAACACTTTTTGATGTAACTATGTTGAAATTATTTCATTTAAAGTCAATGTTTTCTATTTTCAACTTTCCCTGGGGAAAATAATGGCAGCAGAACACATGGAAGGGCATGGTAAGTTCAGTTTGAGAATAGCTGAAAAACCTAGAGAAAGTTTTGGTGAAAATGTTGTTGATACTTGATCAGCATCCTTAAGTACTTTCTCAGTTATTTTTAAAGTAATGATAGCTTTTTCCATTGAAAGGTTGTCCTTGTGGGTAAGGATATAAATGCGGTATGTGTTTTTTGGTAGACATTGTTGTCAGAATCAATTGAGGTAGAAATAATTTGAGTTGTACCATTTATTAATATAACAGGTGATAGTCTTTGGAGGGGAGGCCTTCTGGACTTTTTAATGAAATAGCTATTTGGCTCACTTGAATTAAAGCAAAAAATTGAGAATACCTTTCAAATACAGTGCAACTTTATATAGAATAACATAAATTAGTTTATGATTTACACACATTCTGTTTTATCTTTCCTTTTTTTTCTTGGATGGATGGAAATGTTCTATTGGATGTCACAGATCAGTTTTCAGAAGAAATTAGATTGGTGTGAATCTATTTTCTTTCAGGGCTCTGTTTTCTGGTTTATGTTTAATGAGTATACCTGTAATAAATTCTCCGTTTGTATACTTTGTTATTTGAAAAGGGATTGCATTTCCTCAGAGACTTTTTTACATGGTGTATATCATAACCAGACATTTGGCTTTATGAAAAGTAAAAAATATATATATTTCATGGTAGAGAATTTTTTGAAAGGATTTTTTTTTTAAGTGTGCTTATTGGAAGAAAGAATCATTAAGATTGGAACCTCTTGATCTCTGCCCTCAGATACCCTAAGTTAAACATTGAATATGTTATATATTTTAAGAAGGTAAATGTTTTCCACCAATTATATTTTTACTTTTAATTTTGTGAAAGTAACCTTTTTTTTAAACCTTCAATAGGATTCTGATCTTCGAAGTGCACTTCTTTTGGAACAGGCGGCACATTGCTTTATAAACATGAAGAGTCCCATGGTTAGAAAATACGCGTTTCATATGATATTAGCAGGCCATCGGTTTAGTAAAGCAGGGCAGGTGAGTGCATTTTTTAAAAAAAAATTTGTTTTAATTTTTATTTGTTATTTATTTTATAAATGCATGTCATTTGTTACTTTTTTATGACTTAATCCTAAAAATGGTTACAAATTTTGTTTCAAGGTAATGTATTATAGTTTATGTGGCTAAGGGCATGGGATTTGGATTTAGAGAAATCTGGGTTTAAAGCTTAATATGCTTACACCTTGATTTTGGTCAAGTTGCTTCCTGGGCTTCCATTTAAATTTTTTATTTTTTAATTTATAAAATTCAGAATTTTGCCCCAATTTTTGTAAGGTTAAACCAAACCATATAAATGAAGGTCCTAATACAATGAATGCATTCAAGCAATTTTAACTATTTAGGAGAGGTTGAACTCTCCCTACTTCAGCTTTGGTCTTCTGTTGTCTCTCGGAGTGCTTTATTATGGCATTTCCTAAATATTAAATGAGTAGAAATCTTCTGTCTTTGGAAGCAGTTGGGTTGGAGAGATCTTTATTAATTTAGAGAGTTTTCTTGGAGCTTTGCTGGAGGTAGAGAATGGTAGCAGCAGTGAGATGGTGGTTTACTGTAGATATAGATAGGCATGTAGATTTAGTAATCATTTCTATCTTTCAGGGACTGTACTAGGAGTTGAACATACCCCCATAAAACCAACAAGGTCTTCTCTATAAGGGAGCTTTTTAACTGGTAGGGGAGTGTTAGTATTTTTTTAATGTAGTTAATATGAGTTTTTAGGGCATACACTTTTCAAAGTCTGTGCTAACCAAAACATGCTAGTATTTTTATATATTAAAGGTACAAAGAAATAAAGGTGTTCAAAAATTACTTGAAAGTTCATGTAAAAATGCTGTATTTTTAAAAAACCAGCATTTGAAGATTGAGTTTCATCCTGTATTTTTTGGAAACTGCTGTGTTTTAGAAAATATGTGAACTTGCTATATAGTAAATGCAAACTGGAAAAATATTTATAAAATTAAATGTATTTTTATAATAATTGATGTGTACTCCATGAGTTAGAATTTCTTAAGCTCTGAAGTGGAAAAAAATGAAAAGCTATGATTTTTAACAGATCTTTTCCAGAGTAAGTGCAGATGCATCTGAAACATGTTATTATCCCATTGTTTGTCTTGCATGCAGTGTTCTGTTCCAAAATTTACAAGATGTATTAAACAGATGGTTTCCTTTGCTTAAACAGAAAATTATATACTCCATTAGGAATGATCTTTTGTGTCTTATTTTTAAAAAGTCATCCTTTTCCCACATCTTTTGTGAATGGTTTCATTTGTGAGAAAGATTTGTCACTGGAACTGGAAATGGCTGGTTTTACATTTACCTTTTGAAATGATAGGGCATGTAGCAAATACATAGCAAGTTTAAAATCCTACATTTGTGGTAGGTGGAGATACATTTGCTATCAGGCCTAATAATCATCTCTAATTGTAGTCGTCTCATGGAGTTAAATGATTTTAAGGTAGCTGGTTTTGCTGTTTTGTGACCACTGTCCATCAACTTCAATCCCAGAAGTCTCCTCAAACAGTATGTAGAAACCTGCAAGTATGACTAGAAATGCAGAGGTGTAGGAAAAACAAATACATATGTTACTGAAGTTGGTCAAGAACAGTATCTTCCTGGGAAGATAGGGCACATAAAGCACACACAATTCTTAGGCCATTGTTTCTGAGAACTACCAGCTTTTTGTGACAATGCCATTACAAACAGATGCGTGTGTTCACAGGGATGAGTGAGGATGGCAGAGGTTATTAGATAGTAATGCCATTTCTCTCAGCCTTTTCTGATTGAGAGTTCATGCTGAGTTGCTTTTTTGTCCCCAGAAATTTTTTATAGTTTTTTCATTAAGAATATGAACAGGGCATTTAAAAATAGAACCAGCATTGTAAAATATTAAAAATCAGTAAAAAAAAAAAATATTAGGAAAGTGCTGGGGAGAGGGATTGTGTTTGTGTTCAGCAGACTTTAGATCTTTGTTACCTTTCAAATCTCTTCAGATAATTTTCCACGAAATCCTCAAAAGTGTGCTTGAACTTGATACTTACACACATTTGATTATTTCTCTGTATCAGTTTTTAAGATTTAGTATTTGTTCTTTTACTAAATACAAAATGGAGATTAGGGTTATTTCCCCCCAAGAAATGTCACTTAAAAATTGTTTTGAAGCAGGCTCAAATTTCAGGAATAGTTACAAATACTTTTGTTTACCTGAGCCATCTGAGAGTTGTCTACCTAGTGCCCATTACACTAGGGCATATATTTCCTGTCTCCTAGAAACAACTTTTCTTCTGCATAACCAAAATACAAAAAAGTCAAGAGCTTAGTCCTCACACATTACTACTGTCAGACATTATTCAGGTTTGACAGTAGGCCATACATATTCTTTGTATTATAGAAGAAGGATCCTTTGACTTTTGTGACCTTGGCACTTTTGAAGATTACAGGCCAATTATTGTATAGAGTGTCCTTTAATTTAGGTTTTTCTGATGTTTCCTTATGATGAGATTCAAATTGGGTGTCTGTATAGGAATATCACAAATGAGAGACTATATTCTTCTTATTGCATGCTGTCAACTGGTAAATGATTTTTATTTGCTTTCATTCTCTCTTTATCAAGAAAACATTTCTTAAAAAAAGCAAACAGTTCTGGCTATATATGGTACAAAGTTTGAATTTTCCCCAGGACAGAGGAGTGGGTAGAAGAGTATACTCTGAAGCAAAAGGTTTAGTGGAGGGAGGCCTCTTTCTCTGTACCAAATTTCATTTGTAGGACAGAAGCTGTCTGAATTTAGCAGGGGGCAGTGATATGTGATTAACGCCAAATATCTGCTCATGGATGTGGCAGGATGGAGCCAGCAATGGGCAAAAGAAAAGAATACAAATTTGTGTGTGTGTATGTGTTCACTTACATGTGCACTTTTAGTGAACAAGTAGTATTTCCATTCAGCCCAGTGCAGTGGTATAGAGAGAGACAACCGTAACAGAATTGAGACTTCATAAGATAGTTCTCATTTGCAAGCTAACAAGCCTCTAACCAAACCATGACTCCATATGCTACTGCTTTGGGAACCCAGATGGTTTTTCATGAAGTCATTATTATTCCTGACTTTTAGACTTGTTGCCCTTGGACAAAGCAGCTATTTGCTCTAGGACCTCTTGGTTTTTAGTAATTATTGTTAGGAAGTTTTCCAAAATGTTAGTTTCATTTTCTTTATTATTCTAATCTTGGAAGAACCAGTTACTAGTCACTTGATTTTGTGTGTGTGTGTATGTGTATGTTTTTCAGTCCAAGAGAAACTTAGATTGTAATACTTTGTTTTGTTTATTTTCTTACAGAAAAAGCATGCTTTACGCTGCTATTGTCAAGCCATGCAAGTTTACAAAGGAAAAGGCTGGTCTCTTGCAGAGGATCACATTAACTTCACTATTGGGCGCCAATCCTATACTCTTAGGCAACTGGACAATGCTGTGTCTGCTTTTAGGCATATTTTAATTAATGAAAGTAAACAATCTGCAGCTCAACAAGGGGCCTTCCTCAGAGAGTATCTTTATGTTTACAAGGTGAACACATAGTTTCAGGATTAGATAATAAAATTACATTTAAGTTATTATTTTCACCAAAAACAAAAAAAGCTTATTTAGTTTATCTGGTAGGAGTCTAATAAAGTGATTTTATTTGGTTGTATATAATTATCTGTCATAATAAAATGTAAGAGGGCTTGGATTATTATTAGTCATAGATTTGAGTTATATTGCCCTTCCACAGTTATTTGAAAGAGAATTTTAGTATTCCAGTAAATACTTGATTTGTGGCTGTTCTTGAAATCTTAAAGAAATTAGATGCTTTCTGAACCTTTTCATTATTGTGTTTTTGAGATTTTTAAAAAAATCCTATTTGATCTTATAGTATATTGGGTCCTCTACCATCCTTTGGAAAGCACTTTCCTTTCTTTTCCCTATGAAAGGTGAGGAGGTATGGACCTGTGGGAAATAGACAAATTATTGTCTATTATGGTGTAACCCAGAAAAAGTAAGAAAAGACATTTCTGAGACAGATAGGAAATGTAAAGCATTGTTTTATGGGAAGAAATAGAAGTTGTCATTTTTTTCATGAAGTCCTATGAATAGTGAAGGTGGGATAAGAAAAGTAACTAGGTTTATAGTCATGATATGTGAAACAGTTAATTTCTTGTATTACTGTTCTTATTGTATTACATATTTTTCCATATGAACAAAAAGTAAACCTACTTTTGCGTACTCCTGTATTGTATTTCTGTCCTATAGAAAGTAACTGCCCTTATGCTTTTAGAATTTTGGCAGATAGGATGGTATAATGAATTACAGGAAGTAAAATGCATACCAAAATAATGTTTAGAAGTTTAATATCAAAGGGAGCTAACTGGCTGAGTACCCCTAGGAAGACTTCTTGGGCCCAAATAAATAATCTCTAAAGGTTTTCTTAGCTATAAAATTTTATGACTGATGTATTAGTAAAAATGGCAATTTTTTCTTAACATATTTTTAATACCTGTGTATTAAAAACGAACCTTTCTGTACCTGTGTATTAAAAATGAGAAAGCAAATAGAAATAAAGGGAAGTTTTCTCAGAAATTTTTTTTCTTTTGTATGTCTCCTAGAATGTAAGTCAGCTATCACCAGATGGTCCCTTACCGCAGCTTCCTTTACCATATATTAATAGTTCAGCAACACGGGTTTTCTTTGGCCATGACAGACGACCAGCAGATGGTTAGTAAAGGTTTTTTTGGTCTTGTTACCTGGTGACTATTTATTTTAAAGTTTTTTTTTCTTTCTCCATTTAAGAAATGATGTGTAATTATTGAAGAATATTTGAAAAATAAATACTAATATACCATATCACCTATCTTCCTGCCACCTGAAGATAACCACTATTGTATTGTTTTTCCTTATCTTTAAGGAAACTATAGCATAATGGCTTTTCTCATGTAATATAAAAAATGCTCATATATATATATGCATAACCCATAGACACAGACAATATTGTGGTGATGTCCAGAGAGAAGGTGTTGAGGGTTGGGTGAACATGGGCAAAGAGGGGAGAACAATGTCAACAATAACAATGAAAAAAAAAAAAACCAAGTCATTGGAGTAAATTGAATTTTAATTTTCTTAAAAAGAAAGAATGCTCATCTTATTGTATAATCTAGATAAACATTTTTTTATCCTCACCTGAGGATATGTTTATTGATTTTTAGAGAGGTAGTGAAAGAGAGAGAGAAACATTGATGTGAGAGAGAAACATCAATCAGATTGAACCTGCAATATACGTATGTGCCCTGACCAGGAATTGAACGCACAGCCTTTTGGTATACATGATGATGCTCCAACCAACTGAGCCACCTGGCCAGGGCTTGATAAGCATTTTTTTAAAAGATTTTATTTATTTATTTTTAGACAGAGGGGAAGGGAGAAAGAATGAGAGGGAGAGAAACATCAGTGTGCGGTTGCCTTTCATGCACCCCTTGCTGGGGACCTGGCCTGCAACCCAGGCATGTGCCCTGACTGGGAATCAAACTGGCAGCCCTTTGGTTTATAGGCCCACACTCATTCCACTGAGGTACAATAGCCAGGGCTTGATGAGCATTTTTAGTGGCTATAAAATATAATATTCAATGCATACAAAGTACTTTATTTTCACATTTGCTTGTTATATAGTTGGACTGTATCTGTCTTCTATGTATATAAAAGCACATGTGCGCACACACATATATAAAATCCTCTTGTAGGAGAAATTTTTGTGTATAAAACTTGTTTCTTAATTTTTTATTATGGAAGTTTTCAAATGTACTTAGAAGTAGAGAACAGTTGCCAATATTCTGTTATTCTTGTTGTAAGACTTTTTAAAATACAAGTTTTTTCCTTAGGATTGAGCCTTAGAATGACAGTACTAGGTTAAAAATAAAAATATATTAAAACTGTTGATGCATGTTAAAGTAACTCTAAACAGTCTTATATTTGAGCTTAATACTTCTTGACTAATTTGATATTTTATTTAAAAAGTATTTATCAGGTTGTGTATAGCAGTGTTGTTTTTTGTAACAAAAAATGAAACAATAGCATATGAGTTGACAAATTTTGGTGTGTTCATATAATAGACTCGTGCTATAGGACACAAGTGAATGATTTCTCCATGTTTCAGCATGGATAATACAACATAATGTTGAGTGATAAAAGTTGAAGAATGATAGATCAAATATAATTTCATTTATATATTTGAAACATACAAACTAGTTCTATGCATTGTTTATGCATATACTCATATGTGGTAAAGTTAAAAAAGAAGTGGATGAGAATGCTGTGCTTCACTTTAGTAGTAGTTCCAGAAAGAAGTGGTGCCAGTGGAGATGGAGGATTGAGGAGGGTTCCACAGTGGAGCACATCAACTCTATCTGTAACATTTATGTTATAAAAAATATTTGGGATTATATGAGAGAAGGTGACTTTTATTAAATTTTGATATGCAATTATGTTTTATATTCTTCATGCTTTTTTATATTTGAAGTATTATATAAAATTACTTGTGAAAGACTAGAGAAAATACATTCTTTCAGAGTTGGAAGGAAAAGAGCACCAGTATTATAAGCAGAATTCCAGTTAGGCTGAAGTTAATAAAAGCATATTTTTCTCACACATAATTGGAAATAGGCAAGAGTGCGTGTATACATGTATTTCTTTGGATAACTTAGGTTTTTATTTAAAATATTTCATTTGAGGGTGGGTATTAATAAATGCATATTTAATTTTGACACATTTTTTAGGTGAAAAGCAAGCAGCTACTCATGTCAGTCTTGATCAAGAATATGACTATGAATCCTCCCAGCAATGGCGAGAACTTGAGGAACAAGTGGTGGCCTTAGTTAACAAAGGAGTAATTCCATCCAATTTCCATCCTACGCAGTACTGTTTGAACAGTTATTCAGATAACTCAAGATTTCCACTTGCAGTTGTAGAAGGTGGTATACTTGAATTTTTACATGTGGATTTTTATTTGTTTATTTTATTTACCGTAGATTCAAGATAATTTTCTGTGTGCCTAAAATCACTGGGAGCTGGAGATGCAAAAATAAATTAGGAATTCAAAATTTAGTGAGCTACATTTATAAAACAAAGCAGTGGGGGTTCTAATACAGGTAGATGCATAGTGCTGTTGGAATGCAAAAGGGAGAATGCCATTCTTTAGTATAGAGAAATTGGGGGGATTTTTTTGAGGAGGTAGTTTTAAAACTGAATCCTGAATAAGTAAACATCTGCAGTTGGTAAAGGGTAGTTAAGGCAGAAATTCAGAGCTATGAAGGCAAGATATGTTTAGAGAATTCAGTGTAAGATGAAGTGTGGAGTTTATTAAAGTTATTAATTTAGGCATTTCTTTTATAGAACCAATAACAGTAGAAGTGGCTTTTAGAAACCCTTTGAAGGTTCCACTTTTGTTGACTGATTTGTCATTGCTCTGGAAGTTTCAACCTAAAGATTTCATTGGAAAGAATAATGAAGAAGTTAAAGAACTAGTAAGTTTTTAAAAGGTATTTGTAAATAAACCTGTTTCAGTGATAGCCTAACAGATTATGTAATAACATTTCAACTTCTCTGTTTAGTGAGCTATACTTATTCTTTTTCATGCTTTTTTCCTAGTTATAAAAAGTATGTTGTATTCTTATTGTTTAAAATTGAGAATACAGAAGAACATAAGGAGTAAAAATACAGCTGTCTTTTTAGTATTTAGAAATAACCATTTTAACACTTTTCTATGTATCCAATAATTTCCATTTGTATTTTTCCTCATGTATGGGATTTTCTCATGTTGTGTATATTTTTAATTCTCTGTTGGTTTATATGCATATTTGATTTTAAAATGTCTTAGTATTTCATTTTTGCATAATATTCATTCATATGGATGATCTATAAGCTAGTCTATCTCTTTGTTGGTAATTATGTTGGAAGTTTCCTCATAATCATAGTTGTTTACTCTCATAATCATTCAGTGGTGAAAATTTGGGTGCATAGTTTTTTATTGTGATTAATTCTGTAGGAAAGATTCCTGGGCATGAAGTTAGAACATTTTAGGGAACAATTAATATTCTATTTGCTTCTCAAATTATACTAATGAGCTTCTCATAATCAGAATATAGAGTTGGATATCTCATCTTTGAAACATTAAGTGTTCTTATTTATATAAAAAAGTTTATTTGATAGGTTAAATCCCATCTTACTATTTTATTTTTCATTGTATTGATTTCTAGTGAAGTTCTTCTATGTGTATATCTTTTTTATTGTGAATTATCTGTTTATAGCCTTCATATCTATTTATTTATTTATTTTCTCACTCATGTTTGTGATAAATTCTTTATACATTTAAGGTGTTATTTTTGAAGCAGGAATGACTCAAGCCAAGAATTATTGTTACCCAGCTGAGTATAACAAATACATTTTTACCTAGTTACTAGTTTATTCACCAGTTATCTATAAATTTTACTTCTCTATACTACCTTGCTATATGCTTTAATAATGTGGTAAAAGTTATTTTGGGACTGGGAAAGATCCCAACATTTTCGTGCTTTTATTTCTGAAGGGAGAACTTGAAGGACGCCTGTTGTACTAACTTTAAACTATTTGAACTTTTGAAGTATTTTGATTTTTTTAAAGATTGCCTTACTTAAAGTCTTGCTGTTTAACTGAAGACATTTTTTGATTATTTATACCGATTGTGAATAGTTTGAAATACTGAGATTTACCAGGCTCTATTTTGACTTGAATCTTAGCAACCTCAGTCACTTTTCTAATGTTTTATGGATACCTGAAATAAAAATCAGAATACTATGAATACTTTACTCTTGGAAAAGGTTTTTTTTTTTTTAAATCTGTTAGCTTTTTAAGTATATTGGTCTGTTTCATAATTAGATTTTATAGGATGTTTATTAAAGTTAAGTGAACATTTTTCTTGTGTATGTTGAAGTTACACTTTTTCCTATAAATTGAAAGCTCTGGATTTCTTCATGAATTTCTTCTAGTTATGGTCTAAGATGCTGAACTGGAATTTAGGGAAATGCGATCTTTATTTCTTTTGTCAAATAACTCATCTCATGGTAAAAGTCAAACAGTGGTCATGAGGATCAGGTTTACTTTGAGTGAGCCAGTGGATCCTGCTTTGGTGCATGAGCCATTGATTTGGAGTAGATAGGCCTTTTTTGCTCTACCTACAGCCCTTAGTGTCCACTAATCCTTTTTTTTTAATTCTCACCCAAGGACATTTTTTCATTGCTTTTTTAGAGAGAGGGGAAGAGAGAGAAAAACATCACCAGCTCCCTTCTCCTATGCACACCCACTGGGGTATGAGCCCCCATGGGGTGGGACCTGCAACCTGGGCATGTACTTGACTGGAAGTCAAACCCAAAACCCTGAGATCTATGAGATGATGTTCCAACCAACTGAGCCACACTGGCCAGGGTTGCCAGTCTTTTATATATCCTGTTTAGGCTGCAATACTCTTACTGTGTGTAGTTAACCAATTTGGAAAAAGAGGCTAGTTGAAATAATAGATGGAGAAATTTGCTCTTATTGCAAGATTAAATTAAATGGACATGTTGGCCACTGTTACATGGACATTTTTGCTGCTACTACATGGTTTTACTGCAGTTGTAAAAATAAACTACATTTTGCTTAGGACATACTAAGAACCTAGTAAATGCTAATATAATTACTGTTATTGTTTTTAAGTATTGATATATAGGAATGTTGTAATTTGATAATTTATTCATTAGGATGTGTTTTTTACAAAATAATTCATTTTCTAGGTAACAAGTGAACTTGAAATGATTGGAACTGAAGTTATTTCAGAATTCTTAATTAATAGTGAAGAATCTAAAGTGGTAATTGTTTGATTTTTTTTTTTCTGACTTAAGCCTTTCTAAAAGTAAGATGAAAACATTTTAAAAATCAGTTTATTCAGTTTGTTTTATATCTTAGTTTACTTAAAAACTAAAATTTGGAAGATTAGGATACTGGAATTACACAGGAGGAAATTGGTGGGAAAAGTAGGTTTGTGGTGGTCTTTGGTTTGTTAATTTCCTGAGGAGCCTGGTGAAGAGTTTCTGCTTTTTTCTTGGGGTCAGTATGATACTTGGTTGACCAGAATATTTTGATTTTTATTAAAAGTAATGATGAAGATCCAGGCCTCTGTTGAAGTTAGAGATTTTCTTTTGTAGAAAGTGCTTTCCAATAAAGAGGTATTAGTTGATGATTTAAAAGTTTTAAGTCATGAGTTTACATTTCTGTAACATTACAGAATTTAGGTATTACACTATTTGAGATATTATGAAAACAGATAATAAGAGTGACTTAAATATCTCCACAGGCAAGACTAAAGCTCTTTCCCCATCACATAGGGGAGCTGCATGTTCTGGGAGTTGTTTATAATCTTGGCACTATTCAGGGCTCCATGACAGTAGATGGCATTGGTGCTCTTCCTGGATGTCACACAGGTAAAGCTATAACATTGCTGAACAATTAGAAAACTCATACTTAATTCAATCTCCATAGAATAAAATGAATGAAAATGATGTTATTTTTTAAATAGGCTTAATGTACTTGGAACAATGAATAATTTGGATTATTTTAAACTCTGCTATTGCTTTAAAAATAAACAACTTTATTCCCTTCTAGTGTATTTTTTTAATAATTCTTAGTTTGTACCCTATGTATATTTCTTTTCTGTTACTGATCCAATTTTAGTAAAGTCTAATCAAATATATTCTAACGATTGAGATTTCTGCAGCCAATATAAAAACCATCTTAGCATATTCTATTTTTGAATACTGTCTTTTTTATAAAACATAGAGCAAATGACATTGGATATTAAACACCTTAAATTCTGCAGTCTATCCTGTGAAGAGAGTAGGATTTTAGTGTTAAGATGATATTTTTGGTGCCTCAATGATATGTTTTACAATTTTTATAAGAGTAAAGCTACAAGATACATATTTAACATAGTTTACTTTTTTCCCTTTAAACTCTGGGAACCCTTCTAGATCTAATATTATCTTATAATTTATACTAGTTATCTGAATTTTAGGTGACAAGATGCCGGGCAATTTACCATAAAATCCCTTACTTCCAGCCCTTTATTTTAGTAGCTGTTTTTTTAAATTTATTTTTTAACAAATTTATAGCCTTGACAGACTTGAATTTAGTGTTCATAAAAGCTGATTATTGCTTTTGGGAAATCTTTTGGGAACTCTTGGAAAGTTTATTGGTCCTTTTAATCTTTGGTTCATAATTTCTACTTGTCTGCATATCAAGGATGATTCAATACAAAATTTTTTTTCAAAGCGAATAGAAGTAGAATGACTCCATAAGATTTCGGAAATTAAAAACAAAAAGTTTACACCGAAGTTGAGTATGGTATTGTGCATTTTAGTACTATATTTGTAATTCTTGGTTGACAAGCAGTAGACTAGTAACATTTATACTCTTGCTAATTTATTACATATTTTAAGTAAGTTGAATGGGCATTAAGTACTTTTTGAAGATCCTTTCCTTTCCCACTTGCACATACCTAGGATCTTAACCTAATACCAAAGTTATGGTTGTCAATAAAATATAGATCATTATTTTATATAAGGTACTGAATGTATTTATTAGTATAAGAATTGATGTTATTTTAGGATGTTAGTGGGAGCAAACCCTGAATTAACTATTAAAATAAGTTGCATCCCATAAGCAGAATTTTCGTAATTTAGTGTAGTCATTATTTTGTAAAATGCTAATAGGGATCTGGATCAAACAAAGTACAGGAAATGCCATCTTGTAAGTCTGGTCTGGGAATATCACAGTGACCATTAAAGGCTCTGAACATTAAAGGCTCTGAGTAGTCCTGCAGGAAAGATAGTTGTATACACTTGATTTCTTTTTTCACATACACACTGTGGAAGCTTTTGGGGGAAGTCTCACATTAATATTAAATGACTTTAATTTTCTTCTTGCAATCTATTGAGAAAATGTAGTTACCCAGAAATATTAGTATATATTTACTATCAGTATATATTTTTATAATACATATATTTGAATATGAGTAAAAGTTAAAAGTTATTATACAGAAATATTAGTATATATTTTATTATCAATCTATATATTAGAATATTATATTTGAATATGACTAAAAGTGAACTGTTGATCTGTTTAATGTTTTGGATTTTTTTTCCTTTGAAAATAGATTTTTTTTCATAGCCTGTGTTGTTGGTCCCAACACAGCTCTTCTCTCAGATAGATCTTTTTGGTTAGTAGCTATTATAGTTAAATATAGGTTTCAAAAAATTTCCGAAACTTAAAATTGGTATCTTTTACAGTGGTACAAGATGACCAGTAGTAGTCTTTTGATACAATAGTAGTCTTTCTGCAAAGTAAGTAAATCCTAGTAAAATGAGAAATTAAGCAGCATAAAATATGTGTTTAAACATGAAAGAAAATATGGATAATTCTCTGATTAATGATGCTAATAAATACTAGTCTAGAATTTTTCTAGAAATAATCTGAAACTTATAGTATTCATATATCAGGCTAAATTGGTATCAGTTAGCATACCAAGTTCTGTTAGGGCATTGATGGTTTTTTATTTCAGGAAAACATTCCTTGAGTATGTCAGTCCGAGGGAGACAAGATTTAGAAATTCAGGGTCCTCGGCTTAACAACACAAAAGAAGAGAAAACATCTATTAAATATGGTCCTGATCGAAGATTGGACCCCATAATCACTGAGGAAATGCCACTGTTGGAGGTATTTCGCTTTTTAAAATTTCATGGGTTTAATAATTTATTTGTAAGTTCATATGATACTTAGAATAAATTAATTTTAGACTTTAGGTTATTGACATTACAGTGTACTGTACATTAAAATTATTATTAAGCTAGCATTAACTCTAATTCACAAAGCTAAGGTAATTGTGCAACTTGGCATTAAGTCTTAGCCTGCTTATAAAACGTGGCCCTTGAAATATAAATGGAAATTGGGAAAACATTTCTTAAAGAACAATTTTGTTGTTAAAATCAGTGGCTTTTTGTAAAGTGTAAAAATGACGTGGGAATGAATGCCGTAAAAAATTTAAGCAATGTTGATAAGTATATCAACAAAAAGCAATCTTTCCTTCCCCTTCTTTGTATCCCACCCCTTTGCTACTTTCATGCCATATGAATTCAAGGTCTTTTAGTTGCAGAAGACAAGCTGATGGCTAGTTTGCGCAAGCCAAGAAAGAGAAATATATTACTTAGTTGAAGGATATTGGAATATCTCATGGCAACTAAAATATTATAAAATAATAATAAGTCTCAAAGAAAAATAAGGACTCAGCAGCTCCAGGGAATATAGCATAAATGTTTGTAAGCCTTAAAGGTAATTGCTTTTGATATGATTTAGTCTTACAACTTTCAGTTTTTGTGGCACTTTAAGACAAATTTCAAGTTTCTGGAAGAAAATTCTGGCTCACTTTGGATCAGGGGCCTACCCAAGAGGCAGCCCAAAGGCAGAGTTATGAAGTATAAGCATGGACACTGGAGGGCGGTCCTTCCTCCCGCATCCTCAAGTTTTCCCAACAAGGGGAGCTACAGACTTAGCCACTTACTTTCAAAAAGTGCCAGCGATACCAAATTATTGTTTCTCTTTTCAGACTTTTCATGGTTTACTTACATATAGTTTTAGTAATTATAAATAGAATCATACTGCACATTTTATCCTGTGACTTGCTTTTTGTCCTTCACAACATAATTTGTTCCCATTTAATAGAAACTCTTTTTTACAGCTAGATATGCTACTCATTATTTACCTTGTAACTTATTTGAACCATTTATCTATTGATGGGTGCGGTTCTAGTTTTCATCATGACTGACAGTTTTTCAGTAATCATCATTATATATTTTATCCATGTTCTAGTTTAGATAAAACTTTAGGGATTGAATTGCTGAGTCATAGAGTATATAATTTTAAAATTTTGCAATATACTACAAAATTACCTTCAGCAAGGCTATAGTAATTTGTACTTCTCTTCAGAGTGGGAGTGAGCATTGCCTCATATCTATGCAATACTGGGTATTTTCAGGGTTTTTTTGTTTTGTTTTTTAACGTTGCAAATTATATTGGTGAAAAATGACAATGCCTTTATTTTCATTTCTCTGATAATACAAGGTTGATTATTTTTCATTTTTTCATTCATGATTTTTTTCTTCCGTATGTCCATGTAATTGCCTATTGATAGCCTTTTAGTTGGCTATTATTTCCCTTCTCACATTGGATGGTTTTTCTTGGTACTAATTCTATACCAATAGTGGTAGTATAGGTACCATACTCATGAAAATGCTGATGTGTGTGTATTGAGGGTAGGATATAGCTGAGCTGCATATATTCTCCCCACGTTTTACACTTGCTTGATTATGCTGCATTTAGAGTTGTGTAGGACAAATAAAAGACTTACAGGCTTACTTCAGTGCTAGTTTTTATTGATTGCTATTTTGCAGTTATTTTAACTTTAATTTGGTGTCTTTCACTATGTTAGGTTTTTAACATATAAAAAGTCATATCTGAGAGTCTTTTACTTTGTTGCTTCTAAGTTTTATAATTATTTACACAGACTTCCCTAGTCAAAACTTACACAACTTTATTTTCTAATGTTTATTTTTTAATTTTAATTCAAGGGAATATAATCTTCTGAATTTCAAGGGGTAGGGATCAAAGTTTGTTTCTAGTCTCAGTTACCATTAATTGAATATATTATACCTTCTTTCTAATACACTAATATTCTGAAAGTACTCATACCCTGTTTAGTTTAGTTTAGTTTAGCTTTACTTTTGTTTTGGGTGATAACTATTCTGCTTGGTGCTATTCCCTCATTCCTTTCTGTTTCAATACCGTACTCTTGCTTTATCATCTTTTTTTTTTTTTTTTTTAAATCCAGCAAGCTTAGTCCTTCTCAGAGTCTTTTCTTTTTCTTACACTTGTGCCATTATTGTCCAAGCTTGTCAAAGTCCCACAGTAACATATTGGATTTTTCGTAGGATTGCATTGCTATAGGTAGGAGTTCTAAGACTGAAAATGGATTGAAATGAATTGGGATCCAAATATTATTTTAGGGTTATTCACCCTTTCTAGTTTAGAAGTCACTAATAACACATTTTGCTTGGAATTATGCACATAAGAATTTGCTAGAGCTTAGTTTCAAAGGGGAAGATTCTGTCCTCTGATTAAAGTTGAGATCAGTCAGTAGAGCACCGCAAAATACTCAGTTTTTATTGATTCTGCTACGTTATAACTGTCATTATATGGTATCAATTAAATATTCTCCAGTTATGATTATTAAATGTACAAATGGTTTTTAAATGCAGTGTTTCTCACATAATCTGTTGTTATAGATAGAGTTTTACTTTTAGGCTTCTGCCTAAGTCCCATTTCTAATTAACTTACCGTAGAAATTTTCTTCATTTATAAAATGAGAAGGTTGAATTAGATGATGTTTCATTTTAAATGCTGTTTAACTCAACAGTCATTAAATTTACATTCATCTTGGTTTTGATACTGGTAGTTCTATACTTTTTTCTTATGTACCATAGTGGTTTTTTAAAAATTTAATTGATATAGATGCAGTTTTCCTTGAAAGAGGGTATTTTAGCAGAGGACATCTTATTCTACATAATAACAACTGGTGTTTGGTTGATTTAAAAAAAACCACAATAGATCTATATCCTAAATATTTTACCTTAATTGAAAACATACAAATATACATTTATTCACTATTTTGAGGGGAGTGGATTTAGGTCAGAGGCTTTTGCTATGAATTCTTTGTGTTGGTATAGGTTTTCCCATAAGAGTTTCATTTTGTTTTTCATTTATTCAGCCACATTCATAAGTTGTCATTTTAAATTTCCAGGTTTTGGTTGCTTCAGAGTGGGAATCTAAAGATAATTGTTGAATAGTCTTCAGTACAATGTATGTCTAGATTTTATCTACAGAGGAAAATGATACTTTCAGATATAGATGGAAGCAGTTTACATAATACTTATTTTGTTAATAGGTTTGGGAACAAACAGGGACCTAAAAAGGAGTGGAAAGCAGACATAGTAGAAAGGTTCAAGCCTGTGAACTAATGTTCAATTCTGTAAACATCATTCATTACTTTCAAACATGTCATGATGGTGCTTAGTTAAGAGACCTTTTATTAAAATGTTTGAATAGACAGTGATAGACATTAATACTGATTTTTTAAAAAATTGTAGAATATTTCTATTCCTAATATATCAGAAATATTTTATGGAATTTGAAGACTTTAAGGGAGTAGTGAAAGAAGTTACCCATCTACAGTGTCTGGTGAAATAATCTCTCCATTATGTATTTATCAAAACAAACCCAACAGTTACATAACACGGTAGGCATAAATACGAATATACACACACAATTTCTAACAATTAAGACAAAAAGTGACTTCCAAAACACATCTGGCCTCAGGATTTCAGATGAGGAATTGTGGACCAATCCTAAAGAAGCAGAAACATGGGCTAACAAAATCACCTAGTAAGTTATTTGCATTTAAAGGATCCTTAAGTATAAATGTCAGAACTACACTGACAACATCTGAAAATGGAGAGATACAAAGATAAACAGTATGAACTAAAATGTTCTAATGAAGTTATGGCTGGCAATCCCAGAGAAGCTGTGAACCATATGAATATCACATTAAATGGGAAAGGCTGTAAGAAGTCCTCATTAATTGAGTCAGCTTTTGTTTCCATATGAGTTACTGAAGCTTAAGGTTCTTAGGAGCTTTTGGGGTTTTCAGATTCTGAATATGAAATGATGGATGTGTGTTCTTCCTTTTAAGACCTATAGTATATTTTTTCATTTTAATGGTGTATAAATAAATAATTGAGCTACTTTTCAGGTTCACATTGATAAGGACTTTTGACTGATGATTATTCATATAACCATGTTGAATTACTTGTGACTTCTCTTGTCCATAATCCACACAGTTATGAAAGTTTTGCCAGTAACCCTCTTGTTATTGACATTTTACCTTTAATTCATAACTCTGAAATCTGCGACTGAGAAACATAGGTTTCTGTCTCATCCTCTTTTCTTAAATGGAGTTGTAAATTACCATATTCAGGGAAATATCAAAGAGAATTAATAAAAATATTTGCAAACCGTTCGTAAAGAATACAGCATCTTAAAGTGTCATTCATTAGGGGGTTGGAATTTTTAACAGACAATATAATAATATTTTTTCCCTCCAATGCAGGTGTTCTTTATACATTTTCCTACAGGGCTCCTCTGTGGAGAAATCCGAAAAGCATATGTAGAATTTGTCAATGTCAGCAAATGTCCTCTTACTGGATTGAAGGTTGTTTGTAAACATCCAGAGTTCTTTACTTTTGGTGGTAACACGGCTATTCTAACACCACTAAGTCCCTCAGCTTCTGAGAACTGTAGTGCTTACAAGACTGTTGTGACAGATTCTACCTCTGTGTGTACAGCACTCACATCATCAGCTTCTTCTACAGACTTTGGCATTGGCACAGGAAGTCACCCAGAGGTGATTCCTGTTCCCCTTCCTGACACTGTTCTTCTACCTGGAGCTTCAGTTCAGCTACCAATGTGGTTACGTGGGCCTGATGAAGAAGGTGTCCATGAAATTAACTTTCTGTTTTACTATGAAGGTGTTAAAAAGCAGCCTAAAGTACGGTGAGTATTGTAAAACCTTTTTAAAAATGTAACCTTCACGTTTAATATATGTGCACAAATTAAAATAAACATGTTGGTATTTGTTAACATGTCATCCATTGTTCATTAAGAAATTACTCCAATTTTGTCTGATGTTTATGTTTGAGGTTGTTCCTAATGTAGCTAGCTGTGAGTTCTAGGAGGCTAGAAGTGAAAAAAGGCTACAATAATCTTTTTTAGTGGCTTCTCTATCTATCAACTTCATGGTTCTTTCATACAACTAGCTGTTCTGGACAGAACTACCACATGATAATGAAATTCACCTTGTATATGAAGATAATCTGTCTACAGTCATCCTGTTTCAAGAAAATTATTTTACCTTTCTTTCTATACTAATGCCCTTGCCTCTGCCCCTCTCTGCCCCACGGAAATGTATGAAAAAAATGTACATGTATTTGCTGAACAGATGAGTAGAGTGGTGTTATAATGGGGATAAGTGAAGAAATCAAACCTAACTGGCTCTCACAAGGACTGTAGGCTATTATATTATGTAGCAGAATATTTTAGTTAAGTGATAATGCCCTTGTCATTTTTACAAAATTAACTAGAAGTAATTATACTGTGTTTTTAGAGAAATGAAATAGTATTTGTAAGCGTTAAGTACATTTTACATCCTCAGTAAGTGCTAATTTTCCTCAAGATGACAGAGAGTGCTCTGACCAAGACAATTAGGAAAAGACTGTGTAGAATGTAGTAGAGGTGAAATGAGCTTCCAAGGAAAGTAAAGATTTCAGAATTTGCATATCAAGAGGGATAGGCAAGAGAATAGTAGGTCTTCATGAAGCTGTATATATGAATGAAGATTCACAAGATTTCCAACCTGAATGAGCTAATTTGGCCACAGTGTAAAACATACATTAAGGAAGTAAAGGGAAATGAACCTTGATATGTAAAACTTTATTGTGGAGGGCCTTGAATGCCAGGTGAAAGTTTGGAGTTTACTTAGTAGATGTTCAGTTACTTTGAAACCACTGTCAGAGAAGTGACATGATCAGGACATTACTACATGATTATTTTCATGTGCTCTACAGATGAGTTTGATGAGCAGGGAAAGTGCCTAGAATCAGGGAGACTAATAGTATCCTTCCAAATTGAGAAGAAGAAATTGAACTTAAGCCAACTAGATAATTTTACTTTATTGTATTCTTTTTGTTTGTTTATTTGGTCCTGACAGTGATGAGGTTTTAAAAGCTTTATTTGGAATTAAAGAATCATAACACAGGGAGAGGTTTTTAGATTAAATTTGCAATTCTTTTTTCTACAGTCACAGAGTATTAAGACATACAGCAGTTATTTGTACCAGCCGATCTTTGAGTGTACGAGCCACTGTCTGCAGAAGTAATTCTCTTGAGGATGAGGAGGGCAGAGGAGGCAATATGCTAGTCTTTGTGGATGTGGAAAATATCAATACTGTAAGTTGGTTTAAAACTCAATGTTTTGCATTCTGTTTGAAGTATTTCTTTTGTTTTAGTAATGGATTTTTTCTTTGTTCACAGTACAGTGTAAGCTCGGAATTTATGAGTGTTTTTGTAGAATAGAGTGTGAAATAATCCTAATTTTGTATTGGCTTTGTAATTTTAAGTATCTTTTTAAGTAAAAAGGACCTGGTGGAATAAATATGGCACATATTCATATGATATATAGCCCCACATGCCAGTAATTCAGCCCAGAGGAGACCTCATAAAGTATTTTCTAGTCTCATCATTGAGAATTTCTTGGTGTAATTAAATTTATGAAGTTCTATGAGGATTTCACATTGGGTATTAATTTGATAACCCTTCACATACATTTCTGACAGTACCATTTTCTTTATATAAAGTATTTCAGCCCTGGCTGGTGTGGCTCAGTGGATTGAGTGCTGGCTTGTGAACCAAAGGCTGGTTGGTTCAATTCCCAGTTAGGGCACATGCCTGGGCTGCGGGCCAGGTCCCCAGTAGGGGTATGCAAGAAGCAACCACACATTGATGTTTCTCTCCCACTCTTTCACCTTCCCTTCCCCTCTCTCTAAAAATAAAATAAGTAAAGTCTTGAAAAAAATAAAGTATTTCAAACATTTTACCATTCCTGTTTATGTATTTGAAATAAAAAAAATTTTTTTACAAGAAGGGAATGTGATCTTATAATTAAAATAGAATCTTAGCTTCAGATTGATTCAGTTCAGATACTTATTTGAAATATTATTAATTCTACAGTGTACTTTATTTTTAGCTTCATAGATATGTAAAATTACTTCTTTTTAAGATATTTAGGATTAATGCATTAATGCTTTGATGATCTTTCCCAAAAAATCATTATTTGTAAGAGGAAGGAAATTTTAATTTAAAATTTTCTCTTATTCAGGAGAATAAAAAATTATATGCAGTTTAAATAACTTTATTCTATGTATATTGGCTGTGTATTGGGATTCTGTATTGTGAGTATTTTGTTTGTTTTGCCTCAGTGGGAATGGGATAGCTCAGAAAGATCAGAAGAAATAAAAATGATAAAGTTCTGATTAAAAATTGACAACAAATAATTTTTGATCTGTTAAACACTGCCAGTAACTCATGAGTCACTCATGATAGATCTAATAACTGAATACTTCTAGTGCTTTAAAATTTTCCACTAGGAATGCATTATAAACATATTTCTTAATTTTTTTTAATCCTTGCCTGAGGATATTTTTTTTATTGCTTTTAGAGAGAGAGAAACGGGAGGGGGGAGAGAGAAAAACATTCATGTGAAAGAGAGAAATATCAGTGGGAGAGAGAAACATTGAATGGTCCCCTCTTGCATGTGCTCTGACCGGGGATCGAACCTGTGATCTTTTGGTCTATGGGTAATGCTCTAACCAACTCAGCCACACTGGCCAGGGCCAAACTTACTTCTTAGATGAAATGTTGGCTTCTCTCAGAATATTAAAAAGGGGATTTAAGTAACTTAAACTTCATGAAATGTATATTATTAATTTATTTTAAAATGAAATTTTCATCTTATGTTAATCGATACTGACTTTGGTACCAGTGTGAATATTGTTTTCATTGAAATACTCTGTTAATACTCCTAAATCCTCAATGATTCTTTCATTTATTTTTCATAGAGTGAAGCAGGTGTTAAGGAATTCCATATAGTACAAGTATCAAGTAGTAGCAAACACTGGAGGTTACAGAAATCTGTAAATCTCTCTGAAAACAAAGGTTTGTGTGTTTTTCTCTTTGTAGTAAATTCTGACATACCTTCATTGCTTGATTTTTTTTTTTTTCAGAGTAGTACCATAATCTAAGGTTATGGGTGTCTTTCTTATAATTAACATTATTAAGTATTAAGTTGTGCCTTCATTAGTTGATGTTACTATAAATCAAATTACTTATTTTAATTGATTCTTTTCCATTTTTTTGTTCCCTTCCACACCTTCCTATTTGCATTTTTTCTTTTTTTATTCATTTGTAAAATTAGTACCTGAATACATGATCCCTTTCAAAATTTTAAACAGTATAGGAACATACAGACTAAAAATGGAAGTTTTTCTTTTTGTTTCCTTTGCCATTGGAAAGCTGGGTTTTTTTGTCAGTAACTATACTGATATGTACTGATATGCTCTTCTGTGTATTTCCATACCTATATAACATTTTAAAAAAGAATATGCATACTTGTGATATATATTGACAAATTATTTTTTAGAATATTTCTACCAGTTTATTATCTTGCCAGTAATGAGATTATCTAGTAATGTAGAGTGAAGCTAGGAAAATGATATTTGCTCTTTCTGGGAAAGTATTGTATGATAACATATTCAAAAGATATAAAGATGTTTAAACCCTTAGCCTCATGGTGATTCTTATTTTTGGAATTTATCTGAAGGAATTAACTTACAATATGAGAAAATCCATATAGTCAAAGCAGTTTATTGCAAGATTGTGCTTATAGGGCAAAATTCAGTGTGGCTTTAATGTAGATTTAGCTGTGATTAAGACTATTTTGTGGTCATTAAAATATATTAGCATTTTAGAGGTGTTTACAATGGTGGAAAGATACATCATAGCAAAGTATATGCATAGAACAGTACTGGTACAAATCATGCATATTATGAAGAAATACTGAAAAGAAATGAAGAAATGGTAGAGTGGTGAGACTTTGCCTCCAAGTTCTTATATTTCACACTTCCTGTTTATCTGTACTGTCAGATCGATAGGTACACACACGTACACAGACACATATGAACATGTGTTTCAAGAACATTTAGTTTTATCCTTTTTAAGAGCAGAGTTAGATTTACTTCATTGAGATGAAAGCAAAGATGTTTTTCATTAAACATTTAACGAAATAAATAAATATTATAATTATGCATTATTTTCCAGCTTGAGGAATTCTGAATAATGAGTTAGTTGCTTTTATCATGTTATCAGCTAAGAAAGGTTTTTGAAATTTTCTCTTTTCTTTCTAGATGCCAAACTTGGCAGTAGGGAAAAGGGAAAGTTTTGCTTCAAGGCAATACGATGTAAGGAAAAAGAAGGTAAATTTATTTTATTTTAACATTTCTGAATGGTCATTTTATATTTCATGCCAGTGATATGATTTGTTTATCCCCCCCTTTTTTTTTTTAGTTGCCACACAGTCATCAGAAAAATACACCTTTGCAGATATCATCTTTGGAAATGAACAGGTATGCAAATATGCACAGTAGCATTTGATTTTAAAAGTCAGAGTTCTGGTATATCTGCTTATTTTGGCAAAACTATTGCTTTAGTAATCCCCAGATTATTTGTTGGATGAACTTTGTTGGGTTTTGACACTTGACTTCATGCTGGAAAACAGAACAGAAATGCTATATAGATTTGTACCATTTTGCCCTGGCTGGTGTGTCTCAGTGGATTGAGTGCTGGCCTGCAAACCAAAGGATTACCAACTTGATTTCCAGTCAGGACACATGCCTGGGTTGTGGGCCAGGTCCCCTTGTAGGGGGTGAATGAGAAGAAACCACGCATTGATGTTTCTCTCCCTCTGGTTCTCCCTTCCTTCCCCTCTCTTGAAAAATAAGTAAAAGCATTTAAAAAAATAGATTTATACCATTTTAATTAGTTAAAATTAACTTCCTTTTGATCACATGAAATAAGTATAATCCTTGGGATTAAAAAAAGAAACAGTATTATATGATGTAAACTGTCAGAGAAAGTGGTCACAGTGGAACATACAGATGATAGTCCTTTGAATTTTGGTATGTTATATGGTTTTGAGACCCAAGTAATAAGGTTTTTTTGTGATTTTTAAATGTATTACTGTCTAGGGCAGTGATACTCTCAACTTCATTATTTATAAGAATTCCCTAGAGCAATTGTTTTAAAAATTTCAAAAATGTTCAAAACCTCTGATTCATTAGATCTTGAGTGGAGTATGGGAATTTGCATTTTCTACCAGCCCTACAGATAATCTGAAGAGGTGATCTGGGAACCTGCTAAGGAAAAAACTGGACCAAGGGTGTGAAATTCCATGTAGTTATGCCCTATTAGTGTTATTATTCCTTCCTTTTATTCTTTCTCTTGATAATTTCAAACATCCTTATACTTTTGTATTCCTAATTATCATTTGCCTTCATCTACTTACACTTTGTGACTGTCTTTTAATATTTTGGAGAAGCAGCTATTCAGAAATAGCTCAGAGCACCAAAAGTCCAGTAATTCCAAAACAAGTATGACTTTTATAGATACTGCCCTTCCTGAACGTTTGAATTTAGCTTTCAGGATTACATTAGTTTGTTTTGTTATTTTCATTTCTAAATTTGACATCGCTAGAAACATCATCAGGACCCTTAAATTATATTCAGGTTGTAATTTTTACTGTATTTGTTGCTAAATACTTTTGGATAGGAGAATTGAAGACAGAAACAAAGGCATTTTTCCCTTTTGATGAATCTGCTTGAGTAAATAAAACTTACAAGTAATACAGATAAATGAGAAAACTGTAGGGGAAAAATTACTCCTAATGAGGCAAATGTATATATTTATTAATAATTAACTTGAAGCATAACATCTATATAATGTAGCATATAATTCAGGAAATCATAAATAAGAGAATTTATAATGAAATACAATATTCCCTTAGTTAAGTGAAACTTCATAGTTCTGAGCCCATTTAAAATTCTTTTCTCATATTTTCTCCCTTCAAGTATAAAAGCCAAATTAATACCAGTGATACTATATGCAGTCTGCTTGATTGGATATTGCCCTAGTGTTCTAAGTATTTGAATGAGAAATACTTCTGTTATTTTAATAATAAAAAAATACTTTTCTACAGTTTATCTTTTTATTCATTTTCTTAGAGCTACCCATTCATCCTCCCTGGATGCTTGAAAGGTCAGATTAATATCACAGCATTGTAGATTATTTTAAAGTAACATCTTTAAGATTTAGTGTAATTTGTACGAGATATTTTAGGTGTTCAAGTCTTAATGTGGCCCCCCCTATATTCAACAAATTGACAAGAAATTATTGAGTAAGCCTTTGTGTAAGTTATAGAAATATAGATTTGGCAGGGTGTATTTAATGGAAAACAATTATGTAGACAAGTGATTTTTCTTTTTACAGATAATAAGTTCAGCAAGTCCATGTGCAGATTTCTTTTACCGAAGTTTATCCTCTGAACTAAGGAAATCGCAAGCCCAGCCATCGGTGCATACAGAAACACAGTCAATAGAGGATGCTGTGAGATTAATTCAGAAGTGCAGTGAGGTGGATTTGAACGTGGTCATATTATGGAAGGTCTGTGTTATATTATTTTAGGAAACTTTGCTTATAGATATTTGATTCTTAAGCTGAAGAACAACCGCAACCTGCCCTTTATGTTTTCCTTTTTAAATGTTCCAGTTTCAGTATTGAAGTTGTTTTATAGTTTAACATTTCTATAATGACTTTTTTGCATAAAGGAAGAACTCATTTAAATTAGATCACTTTCATCTCTGTTATTAGTTATAAATGGTGTTGAGAATACTGTAGACATGATAAGCTTCATGAAAGCCAGTATTATTATTAAACTGTTTATTGTGGGCATTTTCAAACTGAAATAAAAAGGAAAAAGTAGCACCATAAACCTCTTGATACCCATTACTCATTTGTTGCTCTTCATTTTTCATCTTTCCATTTCCCTGTCTCCTTTGTTTTTTTATTTTTACCTTCCTTTATTTTATGCTGTAGTGTATTTTTTTAAATGGTATAATATTTTATCTGTAAATGCTTCTGTATGTACTTATAGCACATAAAGGCTTTCTTGTTTAATTCACCCCACAGTACTATTATCTCAACCAAATTAATTGAGATAATACTATTATCTCAACCAAATTGATAATTATCTAACTGTTGGCTTGTATTAAGGTTTTCCAGATTATTCGAAAATTTTATTTTCTTTTGAAAATCATATCCAAATAAAACTCATACATGACAGATCAGAATAAAATTGTTTAGGCATTAGTCTTCCTTAAAGTTACCTGAACTATAAATACAGAGCAGACTTGCTTTTTACAGCATAACCTTTTGTATCTTATATATATAGTATATGTATGTTTTATTTTCTATTGAATTTATTGAAGTGACATTGGCTAATAAAATTATATAGGTTTCAGGTGTACAATTCTATAATACATCATCTCTGTATTGTGTGTTCTCCACCCCAAATCAAATCTCCTTCTGCCACCATTTATCCCCACTCTTCTACCTTCTATCCGCCTTCTTCTACCTCTGCCCACCGCCCTTTCCTTTTCACTCAGCCCCCAAGTCCCCCTCCCCTCTAATAGTCTGTCAGCCTGTTTTCTCTATCTGTAAGCCTGTTCCTATTTTCTTTGTTTATTAGATTGCACATGTAAGTGAAATCATATGCTATTTGTGTTTCTCTGACTGGCTTATTTCACTTAGCATAATACTCTCCAGGTACATCCATGGTGTTGCAAAAAGTAAGATTTCCTTCTTTTTTACAGCCTAGTCGTATTTCATTGTTTGAATAAATGTACCACAGCTTTTTTTCCATTCACCTATGAATGGGGACTTGAGCTACTTCCAAATCTTGGCTATTGCAAATAATGCTACAATGAACATAGGGGTACATATATTCTTTCAAGTCAGTGGTTGGGGTTACTTCAGATATATTCCCAGAAGTGTAATTGCTGGGTGATAAGGCAGTTCCATTTTTAATTTTTTGAGGTAACTCCATACTGTTTTCCGCAGTGGCTGTGCCAGTCTGCATTCCCACCAACAGTGCACTAGGTTTCCCTTTTCTCCATGTCCTTACCAGCACTTGTTGTTTGTTGATTTATTGATGATAGCCGTTCTGTCAGGTATGAGGTGATACCTCATGGGGGTTTTAGTTTGAATTTCTCTGATTACAGTAACGTTAAGCACCTTTTCATATGTCTTTTGGCCATCTGTGTCCTCTTTGGAGAAGTGCCTATTCAGGTCCTTTGCCCATTTTTTGAGTTGAATTGTTTAGGGGTGTGTGTGGTTTTTGGTTTTGTGTGTGTGTGTGTGTTGTATAAGTTCTTTATCGATTTTGGATATTAACCCTTATCAGATGTATAATTGGTGAATATGTTCTTCCATTCATTGGGTTGTTTTTTCCATTTGGTTGATGGTTTCTTTTGCTTTGCAAAAACTTTTTGGTTTGACATAGTCCCATTTGTGTATTTTTTTCTTTTCTTTCCCTTGCCTGAGAATATATACCAGAAAAGTATTGCTACGAGAAATGTGTACGAGTTCACTGCTTATGCTTTCTTCTGGGATGTTTATGGTTTTGAGTTTTACATTTAAGTCTTTAATAGATTTTGAATTTATTCTTGTGTATGGTGTAAGAAGGTAATCTGGTTTATTATTATTTTTGCACACATTAGTCCAATTTTCCAAACACCATTTATTGAATAGACTGTCTTTATCCCATTGTATTTTATTGCCTCCTTGTCAAATATTAATTAACCATAAAGGTGTGGGTTTATTTCTGGGCTCTCTGTCCTGTTCCATTGATCTATATGTTTGTTTTTATGCCAGTGCCATGCTATTTTAATTACTATGGCCTTGTAGTATAGCTTGGGACTCTGCCATTCCTGAACTTTTGTGACTTTTTGTTTTACTAGGATAGGGAATTTCCTGTCATTATTTTTTCAAATAGTTTCTTGATCCCTTGCTTTCTCTCTCCTTCTGATACCCCTATGATGCAGATGTTGTTATGCTAAATTGTTGTCCTAAAGGTTCCTTATACTATCCTCTTTTTAACTTTTTTGGGGGTAGGGGGTGGGTTCTCTGTTTGATTATTTTTGGCTACCTTGTCTTCCAAAGTACTGGTGGATCCTCTATTTCATCCAGCCTACTGTTTATTCATTCTAGTATATTTATTTCAGATACAGTCATACTTGAGTACTCGATGGCTTCAGAACTATCAAACCCTGCACTTGTCACATTTTGATGATTCAAAAATGTTTCAGCAGTTGGTGCTTGCTTGGGACTTGTCATACTTGCTAGAACTTGTATGAATCATGACATTCCCTGCAAGAGAAAATGCTTCATCGCTCACTCCATTCGCTACTCATTGATTTCAGCACTCGTCACGAGTTCTAGAATGAATTAACGATGAGTACCGAAGTACCACTGTATTGTATTCTTTATTTCTGACTGGTTCTTTTTTATAGTTTCTATGTCCTTTTTGTGCTAGCTATCTCTTTGTCAAAGTTCTAAGTTCCTTGAGCATCTTTATAACCATTGGTTTGACATTTATATCTGGTAAGTTGCTTGCTTCCATTTATTTACTTCTTTTTCTAGATATTCTGTTTTCTCATTTGGGGCATTTTTCTTTGTCTCCCCATTTTGACTGCCCCTTTGTGTTTGTTTCTGTGTATTAAGTGAGTCTGCTGTGACTCCCAGTTTTGGAAGCATGGCCTTATGTAGTAGGTACCCTGTAGAACCCAGTGGTACAGTCTTCTTAATCACTTGATCTTGGTGCTCCTGGAATGGACCTTGTGTTCCTGCCCTAGAGCCACATAACCCAGTCTACTTAAGATTATATCAGGAGACTGATCTCAGCAGGATGGTGCCACTGCAAATTGTGGGGTGGCACTCATGGATTTCCCAGTAGTGGGAGGCGCCAGTCAGGCTTGGGGGAAGGTGGAAGGAGTTGTCCCCACCCCAGAGCCACACAACTCAGTATGTCTGAGATTCTGCCCTGTCCTTGGCAGGATGGGGTCACCAGCAGAGAGGGTTGGGCCATCTGGAGCCTTGGGGGTAGGGTTAACAGATCTTTGTTAGGAGGATATGCACTAGTCAGGTTCATGGGGAAGTGGGTGGAATGACCCTTGCTCCAAAGCCACCTCTCTTAGCTGTTGACAGCCCCTGAGTGTGCCCAGATTTATATACCCCAACACAGACAACTGAATCCTTAGCAGGGTATGAGTCCTGCAGGATGTGACAAGGAGTCCAAAGGGTGGGAGCTGCTGCGTTCCCCCAGAGTGATGCCGTAAGGATGGGAGTGCTCCACCTAAGGAAGATGGCCTCTGTGGTGCAGAGAGTGACTCAGCACAGGGGTCCTGGCGGCTGTCCCATCAGCTCTCTCCCTAGAGCTGCAAACCCCAGCCTTTCCTCACACAACTTCATTCCCTTACACCTTCCCTCCCCCAGAACCTAGATGTGTGGCTGCAGATGAGATTTTGTGTGTAGGCCCTATAGGAGGGTACTTTTGCTAGCAGACTCATGTCTCCCTGGCAGACAGAATCCCCACTGATTTTCATCCAGATGTTATGTGGGCACCCCTTCCCAACTCTGTTTCTCTGAGCTGGGTAACCCAGCATGGGGTCTTAACCCCACCTCCTCAGGGGGAACCTTTGCAGCTGAGATACCCCTCTGAAATCTCTGCCGCAGCCCACGGGAGCAGGGCCAGCCCTTTTTGCATCTCCACCATTCCTATCAGTCTTGATGTGGCTCTTACAATCCTTAATTGTAAGACTTCTGTTCAACTAGTCTTCAGTTAATTATTCAGGTTGATTGTTCTGTATTTTAGTTGTAATTACAGTTTAGTTTTGGGAGGAGGTGAGTAAAATATCCACCTAATCCGCTGCCATTTTGGATCACAATTTGGCATACATATGCATATGTAATGGTTCTACAGTGAAATGAAGGATCCTGACCAGTGAGTGGTATTCACCTGAACTGTGTGAGGTTTGATTTTGTGTTGTTTGACAAAAGGTTTGATTTTGTGGTGTTTGATAAAAGAGCTCACATAAAGGTATGACCATAGTAGATGATCAGTACAGGTATTTTAAACGGATTTAGATGTTCTAGAGTGTTCTTTTTACTAAATCACACATGTCTAGTAAACATTTTTGAAACTAAGCAGGCATGAGTGTTTCTTTTCATGTTTCAATCTACTTTTAAGTATATCGATACTTTTGGGGATTATAGAAGGTGTTAATATTAACAGTATTAGGTACACATTATTAGCTTGAAATCAAATGTTCTTGAAGTTTAGAATAAAAAGAATCCTATTTTCAGTCTCAGCAGTATTACCCCTAATGTAAACCAACTGCACACCATTAAATGAACATACAATAGACCCTTGGCTTTGGTGGCTGTCATTCCACAGATTTCTACCATGTAACAGTTTATGATATTTCTGGGACAGCATTTTGAGTAATGTATGCTTTGTAGTCTGTACTCACTGTTAAGTCCATGGTAACCTTGGTTGGGGAGAAAAGTGTTACCTTTTTAAAAAATGGCCGTGAATAAAACCTGCTACTAGTATTGCTGATCACATGAAGAAGAAACCTATGGAAGATTGTGATGCTCCTTGGCTATAGAAAATGGAAGTTGACATAGATTAAAGAATGAGATACAGTTTGGTCGTGGCTGGTACCTGATATGTTTATTACTTACTCATAGGAAAAAAGTGGTAGGTTTTCTTTAATGAGGGCACTAGATTATGCAAAAATGACTATTGAATTAAAAAAACTTGAAGATTCATGTAAGTTGTGGAATGGGATACACAGGAAACATAAGACTCTTGAATAAAACGTGATCCAGGAGAATACTTCAGAGCTTGGGCAACTTTTTGTGGAAAAAAATGGAAAATGGGTATATTACAACTCCTAACCAATCTTAACTAAAAATAAAGGTTTGTTTTAAAAAGTTAAGCCTTTGTGCAGGGAGGAGAATGCATTTCAGAATTAGGCCATGTCTGTGGGTCATTTTTACTCAGTCCCATTAGACTACTGGAAAAGAAGTATGACATGTTTGAAGACCTCGTCTATCAGCTATCATCCTCTCTTGACTTGATTAAAGGTCACCCCATCAGGTGATTAACTCCTGCATTTCTGGGTCATGCATGGAAAGATTCTGAGCAGATCCTGGGATGTCCTGTGCCTTTTTGCAGTACTACTCCAAGTACAGAAATTGAAAATAAACATTTAGAAACTTTTGTAGCATTTTGGCAGAGTGATTTTTCTGTTGAATCTAATAGTAAAAAAGTTGCATTTGTCAAAAAAAATTAAGCCTTTGTGTTTGCATAATGTGATAATAATAATGTATTAGCCACTTACAGATTATATTTTTTCTGGGACAGAAACAATTCAAGTGGGAGAAGAGTTAATATGCTGGAACAAGTATTTTGATACAGATGAAATCAGTGTACTACTTAGGGGAAAAAGCCTCTTTTAAAAGCATATGCACTTACATTTAAGATCTCTAAGGGTGTGACATTTCCATTTATATTTTTACGTTTGTACTCACTGATTTTACTCTACTACGTGATTAAACCCTGGGGTGTTTCAAAAGCAAGAATATATGAAGCTTTTTGCCTTTGTGTTGGCATTCCAGTAAAGAAAAAAGCTTGTTGTTAATGACATTGTTGGTTTTTTTTGTTTGTTTGTTTTTTGACTAGTTTCTTAAGAGCTCTAGAGAAAATTGGAAAAGAATTCAAGATGTATCTCTGAAATACCCAAGCCAGCACTTATATTGATGCAAAACAGATTTTGACACATACTTTATAGATTCAGTGAATAAATAAAAGTAGTAATGCTGACACAACCATGAGTGTTGGTAATTGATAGATATTAGCCATAATATTTCTACCTTCTCTCAAATACTGCATTGGTTACTTTTCTTTTCTTTCTTTTAGAAACAAAAGCCAAGTTTATTTGTTCATTTCTTGCATTTGAAGTACTCCTTGATGACATCCTTGGCTTGAGACTCTTTGCCGTAGTCCTTAACCACCACATAACTGCAGCCAACCACATTAAGGGGCTTTGCCTCTCTGTCAGTTTTACATTGGCCAATCCATTCTCCTAGTTTCTTATTGTCATCATCTGTAGTTGGATTGATTTGGTGTTCAGCACGAAGGGCTTCTGCCAACATGACATATATAGCTCATCACAGTTGGATGCAAGCACACAAAGATGGGCATGACACTTGCCTATGGCTCTGGCAGCTTCATGAGTTCTCATGCTGAGTCATTGTGGATGAGGGTGGTCTTTAGCACCTCTTATAAAGCAGTATTAATGTCCATTACACCTCTAGCAGCGATGCCTCCTTGGTCATGGCAGTGGGTTACTGGTGGAACCAAATGTTGAATGCACCCAACCTTCAGCCTCTACCTTCATGCATCTCCACAGTGGCCGGGAAAGAGCTTGTTGGTTGCTTCTGAGGTTACTGCTAAGCAGGGTAACATTTTTGTGCTTTGTATCTTAGGCTTACGTAGTGGAAGACAGTAAGCAGCTTATTTTGGAAGGTCAGCATCATGTTATTCTTCACACTGTAGGAAAAGAAGCCTTTTCATATCCTCAGAAACAGGTAATAACAGTTTGCTTTGGGGCTTTCTTGTAAACTTATGGAGGGTTTTGTTTGGCTGGTTTTATATTTTTGGTGAGGACTGGTTTGCACAAACTTTTATATTGGGATTTAAGTTGGGTTTGGTGACATAAGACTGATGCAAGTAATGAATGAACATAAATTGCTTTTAAAATTTGTTAGCACTTACAAGAGATGCAGTTGTTATGATCTTGCGGTTTCCTAAAATATACTCTTATTAAATCTAGAATTCATATTATATGAAGAATTGGTTAGTTTGAGAGGGCAGCGTTCTCTATATTTTCTTATTTGTTGTAGCAGACCCAGACCATTGCAGAACTCCAGGGGGCACACCATACAGTGTGAGGGACGGCCTCTGGAGTTGTGCAGCAGCTGGCGATGGTGTCTAACATGTTTTCTTTTTTCCTGACATACTGTTTACTCTTTCCAAAAAGTTCTCATAGTACTGCGAACAAAATTTAAGTACATTTAGTCCAGTAATTCAAATAGTTACTTTATGTTGTATTTATAAATAATAGATATTTATTTTCAAGCTCTTCTCCCCTTTATTTTTGACTACTTTTATTTTGAAATAACACAGAAAAACTGCAAGAATAGTAGAAAGGACTCTATACCTTTCACTCAGGTTCTCAAATAGTTAGTGTTTTCCCTTATTCGCTTTATCATTCTTTCTCTATATACATACATATTAATTTATTTTCTTGATCATATTCAAGTAATTACTTCCAAGAAGAATACAGACATCCTGTCCCTTAAGTATTCCTAAGAACAAAGATAATCTCTTACACATAAGCACAAAGACCATGATTGAAATCAGAAAGTTTAACATTGATGCAATACTCTTAATGTATAGTCCATACTCAAGTGTCACCAAGGTTCTCAATAATATTTTTATAGCTATTTGTTTTTTCCTATCCAGCATCCAGTTCAGGATCACACACTGTACTTAGTTGTCATGTCTCTTCAGTCTCCTTTAATCTGGAATAATTTCTTGAGTCTTTGACAGTTATGTCTTTCACGTTTTTTTAAGACCGTGGGCCGGTTATTTTAATGTATAATAATATCCCTGTATTTTTCTTGTGCTTCATCATGATTAAGATTATGGATTTTTATGGTAAAAATACTGCATAAGTGATGTTATCACTTTGTCAGTGTATTATATCATAAAGCACATGATAATAATTTATCCCGTTATCAGTGATGGTTCAGTTGATTAAAATATTGTTTGCCGTGTTTCTCCACAGTAAAGTTATTGTTTTTCCTTTTGTAATAATAAAGAATTTGTGGAGAGATAACCTGAGACTACGTAAATATCTGATTTGTCCTCAAGCTTACTTAGGTCCACTAGTTTTAGCTTCCACTGGTGATTCTATAATTTGAATCAGTTTTTATTTTGATAGTTAGCAATGGTAATTTTCCATTAGGTTTAATGAATATATCATATTTAGCCCCATATCTATTTCTCATTTTAAGAAAATAATTTTTTCCCTTTGATTGATATAGAAATCCTGAGTTTTAGTTGTAAATGCCATAAACTTTTGATAATTTGGAACATCTCAAACAGTGGCAAGATTGGCACTTAGAATATGAAACAAAGTGATTGCTATAAAATCTAACCTTGTTATATTCCCATTTTATATACTATGTATGTAACTTCTTGAATTTCTTTGTATTTTATCTTTGAAGTTTTTTATAGTTTCTTTATGTAACTAAGCTTGGGCGATACGGTGGTTTTATTATATTGTGAGTAATAGATTTGAAGTCTAAAGAATTTCAGATTGATGACCTTATGCAAATTGCTTGCATAACTTGATGAACTTTAGCTTACCTACTCGCTTATAAAACAAAGATAATAGTACTTTACAGCTTCCTTTCTTGGGACTGAACTTTCATAAAGTCAAATGAAATCCTTATGAAACTACTGGTACAAATCCAATCCATTCTGTAGCATGGATTGTGAATATACTCCTCGCTACTCTTAAGCTGCTTCACCTGGGAGAGAGAGAAACTGAGAATATCCTGTCAGTGAATTAGCTTCCAGTTTTTAGTCTCCTTTTGTAGCATTGTTTACATGTTTTTCTCCTGATAGGTGTTATATGGGAATTTATTCAGTATAATTTTTAAAGTCTCAAACAATATATTATTTTCTTTGATTACTATAATACATTACACAATAATATATGTTTTGAACTTTTTGATAAAGTATAACATAAATAGACAAAGTAAATAGCTCATTGAATTTTATAAATTGAAGAGCACTCCAATATATTTAGGACCCAGTTTAAGAAATAAAATATAACCAGTTCCCTTGAAGTATACTCCTCTCTTCCAGTCATAGACCTCTAGTCACTTTTTTTCTGACTTATATGGAAAAAGCATATTTAGTTCTTGATTTTGCAACTGTATAGATCAGGGATCAGCAAGCTTTTTCGGGGGGGCGGGGGGAGCCAGATAATAAAGGTTTTCATCATAATTACTCATCTGTGTTGTTGGGGCCCAAAAGCAACAAAAGCAAACAGATAGGCTGTTGCTATGTTTCAATGAAAAGTTCTTTGCAAAAACAAGAGGCAAGCTGGATTTGACTAATGGGCTGTAGTTTGCCAATCCCTGGTATAGATCAGAATCCATATTGACTAGCAGGAAATTAAAAATCAAAATTTTCCTGGAAGGTGAATGAAAATGGAGAAAAAGTAACCAAGGGAAAAAAGTAGTAGAAATGGGATGTTATTCTGTATTTTCATTTAAATGATAATGATATTTATTGAAACGTATACAGTGTGCCTGACACCATCAGCGTTAATACTTTGACATGCATATTAACCCTTTAGTTAATAGTTGAAGCACTATAACATATAAAACACAGTAATATATTTTCGAAATAAAATTTTAAGGCAATTGTATTTCAACTATTTTTTAAAGATTTAATTAATTAATTTATTTTTATAGAGAGGGGAAGAGAAGGAGAAAGAGGAATAGAAACATCAATGTGTAGTTGCCTCTTATGCGCTCCCTATTGGGGACCTGGCCCACAACCCAGGCATGTGCCCTGACTGGGAATTGAACCGGCAACCCTTAGGTTTACGGGCTGGCACTCAAACTACTTAGCCACACCAGCCAGTGCTATTTCCAGTATTAAAAAAGATGCAATACAATTGAATAACTATAGACTGAGTACTAAGCAGTTTTACCACATGAGAACCACAACATTTGATATTATTAAGAACCCCTTTTCACATATGAGGAAATTATCTTAACATATTAAATAACTTACATAAGATTGTAGAGCTAATAATGTGAACTTGATGGAATTCTTGCTTAACTCCTCTAGCACATGATAAATAGGGAATGAATGAATGATTTCACATCATAGTTTCTATTTATTTGTTTATTTTAATTTTTACCCAACAGTATATGTTAATTGATTTTAGAGAGGGCGGGAGGGAGAGAGACAGAGAGAGAGAAAAACATCAGCGTGAGAGAGAAAGAAACATTGATTGGTTGCCTCCCGTATGCACCCTGGCTGGGGATTAAACCTGGAACCTAGATAAGTGCCCTGACTAGAAATTGAACCTGCAGCCATTTTGGTGCATAGGATGATGTTCCAAAGAACTGAGCCACCAGGCCAGGGCCAGATCTTAGTTTCTTTATCCTAGATTATATTGTAAATGATTCCAACCGTTTGTTTAAATAATAGCAAAAATAGTATTTTTCATGCTTTATTTTATTGATTCTTAACTTTTTTTGTTTGTATACATTATTCTTTATTATAACAAGGTAGTGTTTTTAATTGTCTTATGTTTTTTTCTATTCTTTTCTCAGGAGCCACCAGAAATGGAACTGTTAAAATTTTTCAGGCCAGAAAACACTACAGTCTCTCCGAGACCATCCGTAGAGCAACTTTCTAATCTCATTAAAACAAGTCTTCACTATCCAGAATCATTTAATCATCCATTTCATCAAAAAAGGTTTGACGGTTTTGTTAAAAATTATTATACCACACACACACACACACATTTATTTATTTTGACAATGGCATTAACACAAATATTGAAGAAGACGTTTAGAATAATATCAAGTGTATAGATATTGATCTTAAGTAATTTACCCTTTACTACAATTACTATATGTTGCTGCTGTGATTAAAGATAGTGCCTCAGCCACCTCAGTTGCCAAATGCTTCCTTTTGTTGAGCAGGTTTATCATGAAGTGAAAAACAAGGAAAAAGTATTCTATCATTTTTGTGACCGGGTGATAACAAAGATACGAGTCATACTGGGTTTAGCTGCCATAGACTTTCAAAATAAAATCAGACAAGGTATATAGAGGTTTGGAATGTGGTAAGCATTATTCTCAGCACTTAACATATTTGATCTTAGCTAACTAATCACCACAACCTAAAAAGTAGGTACAGCTATTATTCCCAGTTTACAGTTGAGAAAACTGAGGTACAGAGCTGAGCTGGTATTTGACCATTAGCAGCCTAACTCTAGACCGCATGCTTTTAATAACGCCAAATTTTAGTGGTGAGGGAATAGTTGTCAGCAGTTTGATCCTAGGCACTGTTGGTGGCTCATCAGATCTTAGAAAGACTTGTATAAAGCAGTGGTTTTCCACATGTGGTCCCAACCCAACATCATCGTTATCGTATGGGAACTTGTTAGAAATGCAGATCTTGGGCCACACTCCAGACCCCTGAATCAGAAACTGGGAGTGGGGCCCAGCAATGTTTTTTAACAAGCCCCCCAGGTGATTCTGGTGTATGCCCAAGTGCGAGAAACACCAACCAGGTATGAGAACTACCTGGTGCAAAGAATGAATGGTGTCGGGGGACTGATTCAGAGTCTGTCACAGTAAATGAAGAGACGTGGTTACTTGTATTTGTAAGGAAAATGAAGATGGAGTGAAGTAACCAGGTTCTGGAGATATGTGGGAGAAAACATGGACAGGAATTGATGAAAAATAATAGAAAATAAGGAATGGGGATGGGGGCTGTCGAGGCAGTAGCCCCCATTCCAACTGCAAAAGCACTGAGTGTCATGCCTAAGACTTGCTGGGGTGGGCGGGCGTGCTATTCACTGACACTGAATGGAGGAAGTAGAGGGACAAAGATGATGAGTGTGGTTTGGAGCTAGGGAACATCTAGATGTTTACATTTTTTCTTTTACTAGAAGCATTTAGGTAAGACATGGAGAATTTGATACTTAAGGATCAAATGGGAATAAAAGCAAAAGTTCCTGAGGTTTTGCTTTGGGTTTCAAATTATACAATTTTTTAATGAGGTGCTTTCAGACTGGAAATGTACTCAGCAGTCTTGCTGCCTTCTTCTCCTGTGAGAAGTTCCTGGGGGAGGTAAGAGCATGGCACCAGAGCATCCTAAGGATATGTTTTGCTTAGGGCAAGTTGTTATTTACAGTTTTGAAAGCATAAAACATTGGAACAGAATTTTAGTTATTTCTGTGAGTGCTTATAAGGTTACTATTTTTTCTTTTTTTGCTTTCTCTTTGTTCTTTGTGTTTATAGGGTAAACTATAAATAATAGTATATAACGCAGCTTCATTTATTCACAGGTTATGTTCATTTATTATGTTCTTGATTTGAAATCTATACCAGTTTGTTCATACAACCTCTTCTGTTACTGCCTGTTTTTTCTCCTCTGCTTTGCTAATTTATTATTTATAAAGTGATACCAGAAACTACGTTACCTGTGCAGATATGTCTACTTGAAAGGGCGCTTCGTATAACTTACATAGAAGTAATTCTCATATTCTCCAAAACGTAATGGCTTTTATGCAAATTTGATAGAAAGCAAATGTCATTCTGGGCCAAGTTCTCAAAGTAATTTTGAAGAAACAGGAGAGAAGAGGGTTAGTTGTTGGCATTTTTGTGATTTTTTTCTCCATTGATCTTTTGTAGTTGAGATTATTTACTTCTCTTTTACATTTTGAGAAATAACCACCAGGAAATATTTTAGATTTTTAAGATTAGCAATAATAAATTGAAATAAAGTGGTTGTGTGGATGTGTATTTTCTGATATTTATTCAATGTATTAATATGCTTTACTTCTTATTTATACAATTTGTCTTAAGTGATTGATTTTGGGACTCAATTTTTTTCCTTTCTTGAATCTAATTGTTTCAAGGAGCTTATGCTCTAGTAGGTATGTTTAAGTGTTATTTTCTTGAAAGTTGCTGTATGGGGTTTTTTTAGAAACACAGCTAATTTGTTTGTTTGTTTGTTTGTTTGTTTTTCTTCCCTAGCCTTTGTTTAGTACCAGTCACCCTTTTACTTTCCAATTGTTCTAAGGCTGATGTCGATGTCATAGTTGATCTTCGGCATAAAACCACAAGGTAAAGATTATTTAGTGCAAGATTATTTGTAGTTTAAGATTGATTTGAACAATTTAATATTTTGAAATTAGGCAGATAATTACTAATGTAGATGAAGTTTATTCAGGCTTCCCTGGATTTGTTGTTGTCGTTTGGTGTTACAGATGTGTTAGAGGAAAGTCGTGGAGTGGCATTACCGTAGTGACAAAATGGAAGGCATTTCCAAAAGCAGCAAATTAGTTTGGCTGGAGCTAAATGTTTTTGTAAAAGTTTGTTTGTGAGAAAGAACTCTAAAATTGAAAACCAGCAAGTTTGTGAGAAAATGCTTATTATTTTTTGTTTTTTCCCCTATTATAAATAAATAATCTTTAAAAATGCAGGCACATACTTCTATATCCAGTAATCCAAGAGCTAGATGGTTTTTGGAATTCAGAGTTTTCGGATATTTACAAAAATAATGTGAAACGTATACTGATTATTATGTAACATCCCAAACAGGATCTGAAGCAGCTCTCTGAAGTCCAAATGCATTCTGTGTGTGACTATGTGTATTATAAATGAAGTAACTATTGCTTTATTGTAGATACTGGGTTCTTTCCAGTTTTCAGTATTAGAAACAGTTTTAGTATTATAAGCATTTTTGTATACACATATTTTTTATGTATGGATAACCAAGTGGTAGTTAAAAGCTCAGGTTTGAAATGAGGTTCCATCATTTACTAACTGTTGTTTTGAGTGTTAAATAAGATAATTTACTCTTCATCTCTTACCTACAACATAGTAATTATTAATAAATGTTAGCTGTTATAGCAATAATAATAATAACAGCATTGCCATTATTATTATTATTAATAAGCAATTGGCTTCATAAAATTTCTAAAAATAAAATTTCTAGATGAAAGGGATGTATTACTGGGACTTTGGGGGGAAAATTATAAAGAAAAAGCCCCTCCAACTTACCCTTTTCTTCCTTTTTTAGTCCAGAATCATTGGAAATCCATGGATCATTTACATGGCTTGGACAAACACAATATAAACTTCAGCTTAAAGGCGAGGAGATTCACAGTTTGCAGCTGAAAGCATGCTTTGTCCATACAGGTGTTTATAACCTTGGAACTTTTAGGGTATTTGCCAAGTTATCGGACCAAGTTACAGTGTTTGAAACAAGTCAGCAGAACTCCATGCCTGCACTGATCATCATTAATAATGTGTGACAACTTGTAAAGTTGTACTGAAAGCCACAGGAATTGTTTTATTTTACTGACTGGGTTTTACAGTGGTATTTGAAATACCTGACTTGTTCTGGAGGTTGGTATCAGATCACTGCAGAATACTTGACAGTTTGTTGATGATGCAAAGCGCATTGGACTGAGAATACTGATATTCTTTTCTTGTATTTCTTGAAACCTGGTAATAATTTACATGCTCATAATACAGAATTCAACGTACCCATGCACCTTATTAAGCCCCGTCTTAAAAACCAGCGTCTGAGTCTGCTGTTACAACTGTCAATGGGTACAAACATTAGGAGGCAATTTTGCAGAAGGAAAAGAAGGCCTTGTTGGCAAAACTCCGGTTAAGCCATTAGTCAAGTTCCAGCTTTACTGTGAAGTTTAATAGAGTATTAAATACAAATTTTCCTATCTTGCTTCACACAGTTCTCTAAAATCAGTTTTGAACTTTGGTTATAGAATCATCGTACATCAGTATCTGGTGGTTCTTATGGCTTATACATGACTTTGTAAAAGAAATTTTTCTGATGCTTTGAATATAGTTTTGAAAGGAGTTTGACTTTTTCTTCACTTCAGTGTGCACTATTCACAATATGAGATTTTTGTCATTTAAATTATCATATTCTTTATTATGTAACTTTAACAATTGAGTTGATCTGTTTAAAATATAAATCTCAAGTTAATTAAAAATAAGCTTTTCAAAAGTGTATTATATTTATAACAAATGTACTGTAAATAGAATAAAGACATGCTATTCACTGTATAGAATTATTAGATGCTTTTTTTTTTTCATTCTGATGACCTAGTATATTTTTTATTTAAAAAGAATGCCAGTCATATTTTTATGGCAGGTACCCAAACAATTTCCTGAGAATGCGTTATTTTTGGTTCTAAAAGTGAAGTAGTTGTTCCTACAGTCCTTGTGGTCTTGTGATACATGAGCAAATTAATATTGTCTTTAAATGTGTCATGTCTGGTGCCCAGTAACAAGTTTGGAGATCCTTATACCCTGGGAGAAAGGAAGATCAATGTTTATTATACCTACTAAAAATTACCACATTGAAGACTCTGGGGCTGGTTATGGAACCGGTAATTTAGCATTCCTGCTGAAGAAGAGTAAAAAATTTGAACAAAATAGAAGAAAAAATCTCACTAAAAACAAAGTGTTACCAATATAGTCAATTACTAGAGGACTGAAATTCAGAAGAAAGTTGAGAGAGATGAGACCATCATTTGGGACTACCTTGCCTTGGAGTGTTTGACCACTTAAGAAGCAGCATCTGAGTGGCAGAACCTTATATTTGACAGACTTTGAAGCAGTAAGTATAGGTCAGGAGAAATAATCTAATCTGAAGCAAGGAGTGGAAAAGGATGGAAAGTAGGTGAAAAAAAGGTCAGAGACATACTGGATTCAGTGAGAAAGCCTTACCTGTTTGTTAGGAGCCCTTGAAAGAGGAGAGATAATAGGGCAAAGGCAGTTTTTGAAGAGAATCTGAGAATTTTCCAAGATGGACATCAAATTAGACATTCAGGTAGTTAAGTAAATTCCAAACAACAAAGAGAAACCAGTGTATCCAGATGCATCATAGTGAAATTGCTGGAAATTAAAGACCTGAGAAAAGACTATTGTCTTGCCCTGGCTGGTGTGGCTCAGTGGATTGAGCACCAGCTTGACAACCAAAGGGTTGCTGGTTCCCAGTCAGGGCACATGCCTGGGTTGCAGGCCAGGTCCCCAGCAGGGGGTGTGCAAGAGTCAACCACACATTGATGTTTCTCTCCCTCTTTCTCCCTTCACCTCTCAAAAGTAAATAGTGAATATATTTTTTTAAAAAAAAGAAAAAATAGTCTTGAATACAGAAGACAAAACTTCACCAAAATATTGGAAGCCAGAAGATAGTGGGGCAACTTCAAAGGGTTGAAAGAAACAACGTTAAGCCAGAATACCAAACTGAGCAATAACACTTTTCAAGAATGGAAGTGAAACTAAGACATTTTCAGATAAAACCTGGGAGTTGACTACTTTTAGGTTGCCTTAAGACAGTGGTGGCTGTGTAAATGGGAATTTTTCCATTCATTCCCCAAATAACTATGCAAATCAATGGGAAGAACAAGTGAAACCACACTAAACTTCATGCTTTTAGTGTAACTAGACAGAGATTACTAATCTCAAGTTATCTGTAAATGAAAAAGTTAGTACTAAATTCTAACTATCTCAATTCAAGCCTCTAAGCCTTTGTGGTGAATGAAGGAGGGGAACACAGGAATCCAGAAAGGCTGTGGATAGAAGATAGAGGGCTTAAGGGCGAGTCAAAATCACTGTAAACAGAGGAAATTGACCCTAACTGTAAAAGTGTTCAACAAGGGAGCTGGCAGAACAGATCTGATGATAGGCATGACATTTGAGGCTCTTCCATGGGGCCTTGTAGGAATAGGGACCATTAATCACGAAGCTAAGGAAATGCCTTCTAACAGAAATTACCTTATAAATCAGCTACTTAAAAGACAATGTTGAGTATTTTGAGGCTTGTGTAGCCCAAATAACTTTCAACTGAAATTCTTTCATTAGAGAATCATACCCTGAGGTCTGTTTCCAGGAGAATCCAGGAAACTGCAAATACATGTAGGTACCCTAATGGCATACCCCAAACTACAGCATTTTTATAATGTAAGGTTTGCCAGGCAGCTTGTAAGGGCAAGGCTTAAATGGAATGGGAACAGGAACAGAGCCTACAGAGGGGGTGAGGAGTGCTGGTGGGACTAGCAGGAGTGGGGGCTATACAGCCCTAGAGCAGAGCTTCAAGAAACCTTGCAACAAGTAGAGGGCAAAGGGTTTGTTTATAGGCTGAGGAGTAAGCCCAAAGTACACCTGGTACCTTAGAAGTTTCCGTTAGGACACATAGTCCAATGAGGAACAGTTTTGTGTCAAATGGAAGGAATGCATAGAAAAGATAAGGTTGGGTTTCTGTGTCCCTTTGTGTTAGGAAGTTTTAATTAAGGTCTGGAAACAAATTACTGTGCTTCAAAAGCGACATGATTCTTACCAGAGTGTAGAAAGAATGGGCACTGGCGTCTATCATGATTGCTCTTTAAAGTTGAAACTAAAATGTTCTTAAAGTATACTCAATACAATGTTTGATCACAGTGTAAGTAGGTGAAGACAGAAGATTAATCAGAACAGTAAGAAGATGTATGTCTTTAAGCACAATACTATAAAACAGTATTTACGAAAATGTGTTCCACTGGATAAGATGTTAAAGGCGTTAGTAAAAAATGAGTTCCCTGGCTAAATTAATTAAGGAACGATGAAATTAAAGAGGTTTCTTTATTGCTCAAATAAATAGGTTTCATGTGCACTCATGGAGTTTCCCAAGCATATTTGATACAATCCAGTCCTTCCTAGCCAGAGTGTTGACAGAAATGGTGTTATGCTCATAGACTAGAGCTTGGCAAACTTTTGCGAAGTGGCAGATAATACATTAGTCTCTGTTGCAACTACTTGGCTCTTCCATTATAGCACAAAAGCCAACAAACAATATGTAAGTAAATGGGTGTAGCTGTTTTGTAAATAAACACCTGTTCCTGTAAATAAAGTTTAATTTACTGTAACACTGAGTGACATTGTCATCATATCTTGGGAAGCTGAACAAGACCAGAGAGTAAAGGAGGAGAAACTAGAGGGGACAGAGCATAGGGTGAAGGGATGCCTCATTCCTTCCTAAGGCAGGTTTCAGTAAAACCTTGCAAGTGATCCTTGAAACCAACTACACCCACTAGAGGGCGCCAGGAGTACAATATTGCATCCATGCTGTCTTTACAATTTGCCTATAAAATGTTGAAATTAGCATTTTATTATGAGGTATCACTTAGTGGAGTTAGAGTTGGCCTTAAACTTTTTTGTTTTAGCTAAGAAGAATTAGAATCAAGCAAATTAATGATGATAATTTGCCAGCCTAAGGTACTAAAGGTATTAACCCAGGAAATACATCTTAATGAAAACAGTTGCTGATTTTTTTAGTAGTCTTTACCTCATCCAGAGAATCAAGATGGATGGGTTTTCTTGAAATTTTTAATAATTTAAGGCACATTTTTATTGATTAGGAAGTCCTTTGTCGCAATGCGGTCTAAAATGGAGGCTAAAATAGAAAACTGTTAAATCAATGAAACCTCTGATAAAAACGTGGGTAAGATTTCCTATGTCCCCACTGGTCGGTCATGGACAAATCTCTTTTCAGAACAGGATTCTTTTATGGTATTTAGCTGAGATATAATGGGCTTTAAAGTGCTTGGAATGTGGTGTTTAATACATGGGTAATCGTGGCTAAGTGATGAATTGGTGAGCTGCATGTTTCATAGTGTCTGGAGAGCTCTTGCTAGTGGTCAATAATGACTGAGCAAGATGCCGGAAAGCAGAAGGACCCCAGACTGTTGTGGAGAACAGGAGAGCTTACCAACTTGGTTCAGTCACTTGGGCAGCTTTCAGAAGTATATCACAGTTACCCGGAAGTGAAAATCTGGTACTGTTCAGAAATTTGGCATAAGTAATCTTTCAGATTTTAAAACAAAAGTTACAATTTTAAACTAAAACATTGACTTCAAAATCAACACCAGGATTAAAATATCAAGTGTAATGCTTAAATACTTTAGGTATTTAAAGGGAGGTTGTGATATTTTCTTAGTAAAAGGTAAGAGGGTATATGATTTGGAGTTGAGTTCACGAGTGGGTAATGGACTGCAATCTCTGCAAACAGGACTGTGTTGGGAGATCTAGTATGAATGGCTCCTACCGAGGTTTGAAACCACAGCTTTACTCCTTAGCAAATACAGACCTTGGGAAGTAAAAATAACCACTCACTTTGGTTTTCTCATCTGTCTGGTGTGGCTACAGTAGTTTCCCTCTCACTGGGACATTGTGAGGAGCAAACGACTTAATTCCATTAATTTCTTAGTTCAGTGATTGATAGGTGGTAAATGCTCAATAAAGCTAGTATTTTTAAGCTTGATTCATTTGAATTCCACTTGAGAATGCTCTTTGTAAGCTCCTCTATTGGATGCAATTCAAGTGGCTGTGTCAACCATAAACCTATAATCAAATCTGTCCATAGCAACCATTGTGCTATTTCTAGTTTCCAATTTTGTTAAAGATTATAGGCTTTATTTTTATTGCAGGCTTGGGCCACAGGTACAACAACCATGAGAGTTTTGCTTCCTTCATGTCATCTCTTAATACTGAGAGTAGTGCAGGACACACACTAGAAACTCTCGTTGAGTTGAATAGGACTGGATTGATCAGATCACATTTTGTGAATTAAAAGCTGAATGAATTTTGTGATTAACACAACAGCTCTTCAAAGACTTTAATGCTTTATAAATGCTCTATAAATGACAAATATTCATAATCCTGGTATTTGGTTTAATAAAACTGAATTCACACACTTGCATGCATAGGAATTTGTAAGTTTTTACATTGAAAATTTTTGTTAGCATTGTGGGGGATACACACTGTCAATGTACTCGCACTGTGTAAACCCAGTCTTCTCGTGGTATTTGTAGGCTCTCTTTATGTTTTTTGCTTAAAAGGAAAATCATTTTGTTTTTATTAGAGTCTTAAGCCTTTTAATATATTAAGGAGCGTATCAGGTAATTTTCTCATTATGCCTTTACTAACACTCAGTTTGATGCCGCTTTCTTATTTCTTAGTATCTTGCATTGAAATACTGTTTTATCTTAAAACAACTCCAAAATCTTATTCTGTCCCCAAAAAGTGGTTCCTCAAAGCATTGCAAATGTCACTAGCAATAAAAAATTAGGCTATAATATGTTCTATGAAATTTGAATAGATTACATTCTCCCAGCAAGCTTGAGTTGATTGTTGCCACCATTTAACTATATTTTGAAAGCTGTGTGCTTATTAGACCATATTTCTGGAAGGTTCCATGAGAACCTGATAATGGTGATTATTGCTGGTCTGCAAAGTTGATTATGGGATAGGAGTGGGAGGGAACTTCCTTTTCATTCTACATTCTTTGCCATCATGTATACACTTCAAACTATGCAAATGTATATTTTTTAAATTAAAACCAAATAAAAGCTTATTTTCAACCCCTATTTTAATTAAGCAGATCTGAGTAGGGAATTCTTAATTTACATACTGAACAACAAAAATGCTGACCTTTTAGGTTCCCTCAGTAATTTGTCACTTTTATGCACATAACAGAATTGAAAATTACCTCCTGATTGAATGCGTAGTGTCCATGTTTACCAGTTGTTGGTGGTAATTACTGTAGCTTTCACATTACCTTGAGTAACAATCTAGTTTTTGGCCTTTAAGTGACATTTTTGGATCAATTCTCCTTGATAATAAGGAACTGGCATATTTTTCTTTCTTCTGAAAGTTGTTCCCCCCCCCCCACTACTATTTATCCCTCTTACACCCCCCACCCTGCAATCACCACTGTTGTCCATGTTCACAAGTCCTTTTTCCTTTTTGCTCAGTCCCTTTGTCCCCTAACCTCCCCTACCCCTTAGCTGTCATCCGGCTCTCTGTCTATGAGTCTGTTTCTATTTTGCTTGTTAGGAACTCGTGTATTCTCATAGAGTTTCCCAGGAATTATTTTATATCACTCACAAAAATCATGGACAAAATATGTCCCATTTCCTCATACAGTGCCTAATTGTTTTACAAGGCTCCAAACTCCATGTGTAACAGATTTGTGGCAAGGGAGCATGGCCCAACAGCAAGTGAAGACAATACCATACGTCCAGCTAAATGTCTTTTGGTGGCCCTATCCCTGGGCATCACTTCCCACTGCCCTGCTGTACCAGTTTCCCTCTCGTCATCTGGTGCCCAGCCTCCCTCCCTCCCTTTTGGACTGCCTCCTGAAGTGCAGTATTTGCAGCTCATGTAGCTATTACTTGAGAAGAGCAGGGCTGTTAGGATGCAGCAGAAAGCCAGTCTGACCTCCATCCTCCCCAGTTGCACACATGCAAACCCACCAGCCCCGCTGAGGGCAAGGCTGGGCGCCATGACCTCCAATCGGTGTCTTCCAGTCACTTTCAACCTCAGCAGCCTCAATTTCAGTAAGTAAAAATGCCAAGCATTTTAACAACCACAATGAGTGAATTTTATAAAGTTTCTCTCCTGGAAAGCCTTAAATTGAGGAGTGTGGCCAACTTCTCCCTTTTATATTGGGGGCTTCTTCTCTTCCATCTCAGTCCACCTGGCTGCCTTCTTATCCTCCAGAATGTGACAAGAAGATCAAGAAGGAAAAACGGGGGTTAAGAAAGCTCTTTTACCTCACTGTTGCTGTGGTAGTCTGGCCTTGGTGTTCTCCAGGCACCCTGGTTTCTTAGTTCTTTAAAACAACTATCAGGGAATGTTTTGTGGGTTCTTGGGAGACTTTCCAATCCTCCTCGTCTAAAGCTCTTCCAGTGTGGGCAGTACCTCCCTGGGTGGCCATTTATGGGGTGCGCACGCGCTCGCTCTCTGTCTCTCTCTGTCTCTGTCTGTCTGTCTGTCTGTCTGTCTCTCTCTAAATCTGGCTCCAGTTCCCCCTCGGTGAACCTCTTAAATCCACCTGCAGGAGGGCTTTCTCTTGTTCATGGTCTGACAAACCGTGAGTGCAGACTATTCCCGAAGCAGCTACTCTTCCTTAATCTTCTATCAGAGGAACTAGCCAAACACAGTTTATTGCCCATGGGCTTTCCCAGCCCTGGGGCTCATCTCTTCCTTGAAGTCTCCAGGAGATGCAGGTCAAACTGTTGAGAAGTTCCTCTAAAGTCCTTTCTGGGCCTCTAGACCTAATCGTCTTCACACCCTTGAGGTGGCTGCTGAGTCATTTGGAAGCTGACTGCCCCTTTGAGCCTCCTGCAAAGGCCTGGTAGTGCCTCACTTTGGAATATGGGAGTACGTTGGCGCCTTGTGTTTCACCCTTGGAGTTTGGGAGCATCACTGAAGTTGAAAGCATAAAGAATTCCATTTTAACAACTCATTTTATGTATTTAACAGGACAATTGGGTTTGTTTGTGTCAATACCAAAAGGTAATACAACCAAACTGACCTATTGAAGTTTTGGTGGTGGTTCTATCTTGAGGAATTGTGTTGTTCTCTATTTTCCCTAGTCGGTATGTTTTCTCTCTATTACCCATTTCCCTTTTTACTTTTCTCTCTTTTCTCAGTCCTGGCCTCAGTGTCTTTCTGCATTTTTAGCAGTATCTCTTGTTCGTGCTGCTTCCAATACAGATTTCATTTGTACCCTGGTTATAGTTGTTATTTGTCACTTTTTTCAAGTCATTCTCATCATTGTGTTCTTGCGATGTTATCTCTGCCCTGTGCTCTCGTTACACGGAGAGGATGGGTTCATTCAGTGTGTGTTGTTTAATGTGATGGGTATATCTTTGGCTGGGTATTCTGTCTGCTTTAAGATTTAAAATTACAAGATGATTTTTCTTGTTCTTTTTTCTTGTAGTATTTTTATATACATCCTGGTCTGGTTTTATAAACTCATCTTTTAAAATAATGAGTTCCGTGGAGAACTTTTTGCAAGAGATTCATGTTAAAGAGGGTTATGCATGTTTGATAATGCTGTGTTCCAGCAATTTTCCTTATG